TAGCCTGGTTTACTTTACATTTTCTTTTATTGCCAGATATTGTTTTTAAGCTAACTTTTAGGAATTTCTGCTCAAATTAGGCTCACTTGGTAACTTTATGCTAATTGAAGTCTTAAAGTTTTTTTTTGTCTAACTTTTAGATTTTTTTTTTTTTACAGTTGCTTAATTTTCATGCTAACTATGGGGCACTTTTTTTTTTTTTTTTTTTAAGTTGCTTAATTTTGGGATACTATGGGACATTTCTGACCTTTCTATTATTTTCCTTTTTTAACCAAACTTTTTTTTCAGTTTTATTCTATTAATTGCGTGTATGAAACACAACTTTTAAAAGGGTATAAAAAAAGCTCGCTGAGTTTCTCTCCTGCATCAGCTTTACAAATGGCCTTTTAAAAGGCCGTAATCCTCTGAGAAAGTATTGTGGTGAAAGCAGGATTAACCAATGGTAGAGAAAGAGCTTGAGCAGGACACAACCACTCAACTCCATTCAACTTGTAGAGTGACGCTTAAGGCACCGACCATTTAATGTGGCATATATAAGTACCACACGTGGCCGTGCTTACAAATCCCCCCCAGCCCCTCGCCACCCGCCCCTCCGCCTGATGACAGGAAAATCTCCTCCAGGATTTCAAAGGGACATCAGCACAAACTGCCGCCACTCCACAACAACAACAACAACGACAGCTATGGAAGGGACGTTCTGCTGCTGACATCATTACCACAGCAACACCCTCTCAGTGGGAGAATCTCCTAGGCGACGCCCTCTGTTGACACGCCTAAAGGTGCCCGCTGCCTTTTGTAGGCAGGTGCATCCTGTGCAGGAACAGACGGTGCAGCCCTGTTACTGGTCTTTCCGCTGTGTTTTTTCCTCTCGGTGCTAGCACCTGTGGCAGCTCCTAATCTGCAAGGGAGCATCAGGGTTAACAGAAGGCATTTGTTTTGCAACATGTAACTTCTGAAACTTCAGCCTAACTTGTTTGCAGTGGAATTCAGGGTGTTTGAAAAATCCAACCAAATGTAACTTTCTGTGGTCGGATTCCTCCGTTTTGTTTAGAGACAACAAACTCCTGATAAAGCTGCAGAGTCAAAGCGGCAGGACTCAGAGACCGAGCTTGTGGCCCAGAAGATGGAGGGCTATGGATATGAACATGTTCATGCAGAGGGAGCAGCGAGGGACAGCCAGCAGCTGGACTATCGGAGCATAGTTGGGGACACTCAGCCGTCAGGTACAACTATTGGAGCCCGAGAGGGGGAACAGTATTTCAGGCAAATTTCACACGGACATGAAACTGCAGCACAGAGATACAGCGCCACACGTATTCAGGCTGGCCTCGGCCCAGAAAGGTGAGTTGTACTTGATTATGTTCGTAAGGATTAGGAATTAGTCATGGATTATAATCCTCCTTTGATTTATGTGTATGTCCTTACAACTCCCAGCAATAGGTCCATTGATCTCAAACACATATTTTTTTTGTTTTTGTTTTTTCTTAGCATGAAAGCTGTAGCCCACAATGAAATAACAGCGTCATCTGCATATAGTCGTATTTAAATGAAATTAATAAACAATCTAACAGTATGGCCTTAAATTATATTTGCTGGAATAAGTGCTTGGAGCAGGATTATTCTGTTCTTCATTGGCTTAAACGTAATTCACTAACATCAGCGCCCACACATGGACCTCGAGGGATGGACCTCAGGTTGCAAAATATACGGAGGGTTTTTGTCTGTAATTGACTTCCCTTGTACAACACAGCACTGTGACTGAGTTATCAGTTCATAAGATGAGCTTGTTTTATTTTATTACATATTTTATTGGGTATTATGACTGTAATTCAGACACTGCTCCCAACTTTGCTTGCGTAGGGCTGGTCATGCAAATTGACTTAATGCCATTGGGTCACTTTGCATGTCCACTTGTTTATAGATAAGAATACTTTGCAAATACTCTTGTGTTCTTTCCTATGGTGGAATTGGACATTGAAGTTTTAGTAAGAAAAACAAAATAAACAGCTGTTCTTGGTCTTTTTGTTTCAAATTCCAAATCTAACTCTGTAGAAGAGAGGAGAGAAGAATTTCCTTTTTTTTTAAATGGCATGATGTTACATTCCATGCAACCAGGCTAGGTCTGGACTGATTGCTGTGCAGCGTGGATGGGTACTACAATCAGAATTTTGATAAACCTTTTGATTATTGATATAGTTGAGGCCAATAGATAAAGTAAAGTACTAGTAAATGGTGAGTTCATGTTGCTAAGGATTTTTAATAACATTTAATAACATAAATATTACCAACAGTCTGCCCCTAGTAGGTTTAATATGTAACTGCCAGAATATATTTACAAATAATGGGATGACTAGGTCTACATTGACAGAACTCTCTGGTCCAGAACAACAGCCATACATGTTGACATACGTTGCTTGTTTGGCAGGGTGCTGTTTTCACTGCTCTACGATACAGCGTTAAAGCTGGAGGGGAGGATAACTAAGGCTGAAACCACTGCTGCTCAGAATAGAAACTAAGCATAGAGGCCCCACTGACCAATATATGCAGTGACCCACATTTAACCAGACACAAACAGAGGGTGAGGAAACAGATCCACCTCAGTCTCCTGGTCAGACACAATCAGAAAAGTCACACCTCAGATTGTCCTGAGAACAGAGTGGACTGTATGAAATGAGTATGACTGCAAACACTAATCTCCCACTCTGACAGACTGATCTTGGGTTGATTACATGATGCTATTAATAGCAACATGTTTGCATTAGCAGTGCTGCAGAAAAAATATGCATCATTGGTGGTGCTAACATGACATTGGAGTTTGAATTTTTAGCGGTCGGACAACGTGAATGACTTTCTGTCAACAAATCACACCGACCATTTACTGAGCAGAAAGCTGAAGACTACGACAGACCACTGGCCAGACGTTATATAAACGTTTTTTTTGGGGGGAGGGGGTTTAGTTTTTGCTAGAAGTCAGGTGACAATATGTCTACAAAGTCTTTCTTGTCTTTGGTTTTTTTTTACACTGAAGCAACTGTGCTGTGTTTGAGCTGAAAAACTGGGATGTTGCTAATTTCATTTGTTCTGGGTTTTAGCTAACGTGTCCGTTTCATGTCAGGATTGTGTGACAGTCATGCACCACACACCTTTAAACTACTGTGGAGCATAAAACTGTGAAACACTGCTACCTATGTTACCAACAGACACATATTAACACAATCACCCCGTAGAGCAGGCATGGGCAAACTAAGGCCCAGGGGCCAGATGTGGCCCATTCAGCTTTTTATTCCAGCCCGCCAAATTTTTCCAAATTAAATAATTTATTCATATTATCATCATATACTTCTGCCGTTTCCCTGCAATACCCACGTTTTCCCAATAGGTGGCGTAGAAAATGATAAAAGCATTTTAGCATTTATGCATAACTTTTACATGCCATTTATCTGAGTTCACACGAACGCTCCATCTATCTGCTCCTGACTCCGCCCCCTGTTCAATTTTAGGACAATTGTGGCCCGCGAATCAAAAAGTTTGCCCACGCCTGCATTGAGACGTGTATGAATTTCCTAGGTCAGAGCTAAGGTTAGGGATTATGGGTCAGTGTATTTTCCATGAGACAAGAGGCCCAATCTTTATCGCTTCCGTGAGTGCACGGTTGTCATGTGATTTAATCAAGCAACAAGCATTGGCTTTTCAGAGCCCAATCTTTATCGCTTCCGTGAGTGCGCGGTTGTCATGTGATTTACACTTGACGTTTTTGGCTTAATTAACACGTGACCAAAATTCTCCATTGAAGCTATTGTCTCTTCGAGGTAATAATAACAACTGTGCTTTAACCATTAGAGTGGGTTAATGAGATTATATACATTTGCTTAAAATTCAGGGGAAATTGGCCTCATGATTTCCTAAAAATGTACATATTTTAAATCCTTTACATTAATTCTAGAAGAACATTATGCTGTTGGTCTGTACTGCTGGCTTTATTATACGTTTTACATAAGTACAAACTGTTGGATTACCGTATTTTTTAACTGACGGCTCGTTTTGTTCCCTTGAGGAAATGAATATTCAACCACTACATACTTTACCAGTTCATCACAATTAGATATATACCTCTACAGTACCTCCCCAAAGTAGTTCAGCAGAAGTTCTGAGACCCCTATAGATGTGCTAAGTGAGGTTTTATGTTTTTTTTTTTAAAGAAATGCTCAACAAAATGGCTTGTCTGCAAAATGTCATACAATAGTGTTGATTGGTAGGTATGTTTTAAAATGGCAGAGTGCAGACCACCTTACCTACTGTACCACCTCATGTTGAAAATAAAACCATAAATATTTGAACTTTTGTATTATTAGCACTGAAAGACAAATAAAAAAGTAAATTTGGCCTAGTGTAATGTAAAACTATTTTTTTTAAATATGTGTAACAAAATTAAAAATACATGCTACATGGTGGAAGATGTTACCATGTCTTTCTGTGAGTGTGGTCTAAGAATGTGGCCTTGTGATGAACTTGAAACATAGCATAAGTGGAGGGATTGGCTAGAGCTCTCCCAACCACTAGGAGACAGAAATACATAAACATACACACATATATATATAAACATATATATATCCTGAGGTGGACGTTTCGATATGGGAGTGAATACATATCAAATACGTTTAAATTGTTGCAATATGTCATTGGAATTGACATATTTGTTAAGGCTGTGAAAAGCTTTGACAGGGCCCCCCTTCAATCTTCGGCCCCTCTCGCCCGCCCCTGACTTTGTGTCACGGGATGCGAAGGGTTAAACCCGCCTCTGGAGGCTGTGACGCTGCCGTTGGTACATAACAGCAACACGAAGCGTCTACACAGCCACGGGCATATTCTCACATCTGTGGCACTTTCATGCACCCTGCGCCTTTGCATCTTGCTGTCATAACCGAGCTGTTTCACCAAGTTGTCTTCTTCGAGGTAAAGTCGATTTTTTTTTCTATCTCCTCAATTTTGTCCGTTTCTCTGTGCGAGTCTTCTCCCCGGGAAAGTTGCTTCCTTAACGGCCAACGTGGGCATCATCATCTGCATCTCGGGCAGCGAGCTAACGTTTAAGTCGGGAAACTTAAACCACGTAGTTCTTGGCCTTACTGTGAGCTACAGTTGTAACGGCACTTTGTTCCTATAAAGGACAACGTACTAACAAATCTCGAAAAAAGCATTTTTCCGTTTATGAAGTAATGAAACAAGTGCGTTGCTAATGCTAAGTGCTAACGGTTTCTCCCACATGTCTGCAAGTAAACGTTTTAAAACTTTAAACTCTTACACATTAGTGTAACGGTGTTGTTTGTATACAAGCAAATATGCTTACAATAAAAACCCGATAGAGATTTTATTTAATTTAATTAATACATTATAACTACGTAGCATCCCCATCATTGAATGAAATTGCAACGTGTAGCTAATTGAGTTGCCACAGCGGACAAGGAGCGTCTCAACGTGGCAGCTGCGTCCACGAAACACGTTTGTTATTTCAGTATCACTGTGATGATAACACACACAGAGGAAGAAGAGGAAACATGCGTCCGCCGTTGTTGTTATGTGTCAGCCATGTTGCCAACTGAAGGGAAATATCACCGTTTCTAAAATCTCAGGTATGATCATTCTAGATAAAAAAAAATATTTATAGGCCCATAGTTGTTGTCAGAGTTTTGCAAACATTTTGCATTTATTAAAAATAAAATTTGAGCGCAGGTAGTGAAGAATACCGTTTTGAAGTCCCAGTACATAAACCTTATCATCTTCCTAGATGCTGTTTACGTGACGGCTGACTCACCACGTTCTTAATCTTAATTCAGGATTATTTTTTTTACTTCCTCATAAAAATAAGTTAAAGTTCTCATTAAAAACGTCTATAAAGACATACGTTTAATTCCACCGTTTATTATAAAAATCCATATGCAGCCTCACGATGTTGCCGGTGACGTAGAATTGAGACGAAAACTGTATTTTGAAATATAACAAAATAAAATAGTCTATACTTTTGTTATTTGATTAAGACATTAAATGATGAATCATGCAGTTAGACCTACGATGTCATTCTTCGTTCATAACGCAACCTGATTCAACCCCATGTTGTTGGAAGTGACGTCAGACCGACTGCGAGCTCCATTCAGGATTATGTCAAAACTAACGATGCACTGAACCGATTCATAGAAACGGCCATGTAAATGATTGATCAAAAATGACCTACATTATATTCAGTGTGCGTAAAAAAAATCCTTCCAGGAAAACCCTAGATTTATAGCTGGTTAATCATCGTAAAGTTATATTTGCTAACGAGCATTTATCCACGACCTGGTTGTACGTAGTTTATGTCTGCAGCTGATATCCTTGAATATGGGTGTGTAGTGTAGACGGGGAGAGTTTGTTGACTACTGATAATGTAAAGGATGTTATTAGGCCAGTAGTGGAACACTGTTTTTACACTACTTGTGTTTATTAAAATCCGTATTTTTTTCAAATTGTCTTCTGGAAGAATCCAGCCGAGGTTCCAGGCTAAAAGGTGATAAAGGTCACCATGTTATCGACACACGGTTTCTGATAGTAAACATTACTGGGTCACTCGGCAGGACTACAAACGCTGCTGCAGCGGCTGCCTCTTACATTAAGCCCTTTCCTAATGCTGGCCTTGGTCTATTTTTGGTAACAATGGCTACATTCACTCTAAGAAGATACAAATATTAGCAACAGTTAAAATTAGCAGTGGGGTGTAATTTAGAAAATAACTGAAATGAATAGAGGAATATATGACTAGACATCATTGAAATCTTAAACCAAATCATTTTTTTCCTTCTATTGCGAACTGTTTTAACCAATCTTGGCTTCAATGTTAGCGTTTGCTTCAACGTGTTTTTTTTTTTTTTTTTAAATACAATTTACAAATATCCATTCTCTTATCCAAACAGTAAGAGAAAAATAACTTTTTTTTCTCCAGCAAGCGTGTCGATTTGGTCTAGTCTTTTATCGCTTTTGAGGTCACTCAGGTTATCCCTGGACTCTTACTCCTGGCTGGCAAATTAGCTTAGTGTCACTTGTGATGCTGGAATGTTTACCAGATATTAGTGACCTCTGAACCAATAAATCAATGTTACTGTTAAGTAGTAAATCATTCATTCATTCATAACACATTAAAGCCCTTGTCCCGACAAAGTACACACTCTGTTGTGTGGGACAGGAGGATGTCATCTAAATCCAGTGTGCTGTCAGTGCAGTGCATCCACGGTGACCTCCGACAGCCTTTGTTATGTTAATGTTGCCATGGTTATGTCTCCCCGTGAGAAGGTCAGTAATTCTTGCTGCCTGTTAAGTGGAGGTGCAGTGTGATTATGGGACAGGAAAATGACGCCCTCGCCCAACATTGCAGCTTCTTGTGCTGCACGGCTAATAGAAACCGTCTCCACTTGTTCTCCCGGTAGCATGGCAGATTACCTAATCAGCGGCGGGACAGGCTACGTACCCGATGACGGACTCTCAGCCCAGCAGCTCTTCTCCATCGGCGACGGCCTCACCTACAAGTAAGTCCCGCTGCATTCGACGACCAAATAAAAAACCATTCAAACTCAGGTCTCCTGGCAATGAAGACCTCACCCGTGCGAGAGGGCGGGTGAACTGTTAAGCATCGGTGCTTTGTAATGCAGATCTGACCAACAGTGCGTTGTCTCCGACGGTCAGACGGCTGAAGAGCTTTGCTCTAAAGGAGATGGGTTGACTTACAAGTGAGTAAAACGAGTCGCCTTTAAACTGTTTTTCAACGTTTCTTTTCAAATAGTGACACGTTGACGGCTGTCTCCCTAAAACTTGTCTCTGACTCAAAAAAAAAAAAAGTTCAGTTGTGGGTTACTCCAAGTGCCCGTAGATTAAGTAGGTGATTCTTGCAACCATAATTTGGTCACGGGGATGAAGTTTGCTTCCAGTAATTGAGGTCAACTAATCGCCAGAGCATGACCTGTCTCCATTAAGCCCCATGTTATAATTTATGTGAGCTACTAACTGTTGCTCCCAGATTTTCTAACACTCTACTTTAGAATCGCAATACTCTCAACCCATTCATCTTTGCCTAACATTCTAGCCTTGGCAACTGTTGATAAGGGAAGCATGCCATTTTTTAACCACCTCCATCATTATGAAACGTCATATCTCACAACGGCTTAGGCCTTAGTTTTAAATAAAGCTGAACTGCAGCAGGTTTTTTTTTTCCAAAACATTGGATGCAAAAACCAATTGCATTTTTCTGGGATAAAAATCTCCCTTTTTTAAAAAGCTGGAACCCAATAATAAGCCTATGGTCTAAACCTCTGAGAGCTCTGACCTGCAGCACATGACCAGCGAATGTGACCAGTTAGAGGATGAACATCAGGACAATCAACTGATGTTCTGATCTAATAAGAGCGGCCTCTGCTTTGGAGGACCTAATTAAATTGAGAGCTTGATTACCTTGTCTGTTTGTGTGCGTGTGTGTGTGTGATTGAACAACGCACTCCTCTGTAATCAAGTACATCAGTCCTGTATTTATTTTTTATTCTTACTGATACAGACCAGTGAAAGAATCTAAAATAAGCCTTAAATGTGTTTTTGAAATTTGGCTTATTTTAATAGACATGTAACAGGAAGAAGAAGAACAAGAAATCCAAAAAAATCTTTTGTCTTTCTTCACATACGTTGCCTTTAAGAAGGTGTAGAAATTCTTGTTTGTTTAAAAAAAATAGTTTTTCCATTTGTTTTACCGTCAGAAACATTTGCATACACGCACTTAAAAGAAGCCTCAAACTAAATTTTTTTTTAAAACACTTAAAATTTAACTAACAACATACAAATGACAAGAAAAGAAACTGTTTGCACACCTCAAAAACATTAGTTTCATCAGCAGTTACATTTACAGTAAACTAATTTATCAAATAACAAAAGTGTATAAAGTAGAAATGTCCGATAAACTGTATAGCCCAGCACATTTCTTTGGTTTTTGATTTGAAAATTTTATGGGTGCTATTATTTTACCCTGTGTACGATGTACACAGTATCTTACGACGTATCTTCCTCCCATCGACTTTTTGTTGCCACTGTTTTGTGGCCAACCCTAAGCTGCTCTTGAATACCACGGGGTGTTGACTTGACTGGTATGTTACTGTACCAGCCTGGATTATGTTAGCCTGGGACACTGACATGTGTCACACCTGTGATAACCACGACCTTGTCTGTAACACAAGTGTATTGACATTATTCAACAATTGTCATAATCGCTTGTCATCAAAACAAAACAACAGGTAATGAATGTTTTTGTTTTGTCACTCTGCGTGTGCTGATGTAAAAGTGTAGTCTCAGTGGTAAAAAAAAAAAAGAAGAAGATTTCCAGGCATCTGTACCAGCAGGTAGATCCAGTCAGGGACTAGTCAGTCTGAACACACCATTTCCAGGCATCTGTACCAGCAGGTAGGACCAGTCAGTCTGAACACACTTGACTTTTAGATGTACATTGACTGTCCAACGTACCCATTAACCAAAGCAGTTGAAGTTGAGTAAAAAGTCAGTGGATGCAGCTTCAGCTAAATGTTAGCAGATGTTAGTTGTATCGGTGGTTAAGCCTCTGTAACAGCAGAGAGGAAACACACAGGGCTCCTCCCTGGTGGTGTCCCATCCAGTCTCACTATATCAACTATATGTCCACTCATCCACATTCAGGAAAAAGGTGGAAAAAAACAGACTTGAAATAACACAGTGTTAGCAGATAAAAAATGTCCTGGCTTCTTTTATTAATTTTTGTATCCTTCTTATCATTGATCTTCTCTCCCCTGTTCCCTAACCTTGGTCTCTTAAGTTGTTTGGACACATTTGTGGTTCACAGAGCTGCCATTGTTCCTCCAACTTTCCTTCCAAAAGTCACACTTGAATACCAAAACCACAAAGTACATACAGACGGGGCATGATGAAAACATTTTCCATCTCACTGTTCAGCGTCTGCCCTTTGAGTCTGAATTGTGAAACTGCAGACCAACACGGTCACACCCATGGTAACCGTGTTATATATAAGGTTATTGATGCAGAGCTGTGGAGAAGACCACGTCTTTCTTTTTCTCCTACACTTTGAGTCTTTCCCTTCTGTCACAATCCTAATTTTATGTGACGGCCTTGACCTTGGAATGATAATTGTTGTCTTCTGTCAAATCCAATGTGTTCAAATTTTATTGTTGTTTTTTTTTAAAATGTTTTTTCTAACTTGAAACGTTGGAATGTTTTAAATGAGTTTAGTAAAAAGTTATAGTCACAGATTTACTCATAACACTCAACACAGGCTAAAATGTCTCGGAGGTGGCAAAAAATGGCAAAAGGGTTAGCTCGGAATCAATCTGCAAAGAGATTTCCCAATCAAAAAAAAAAGTCAAAACCAATGAATACATTATTTGTTCTAAATAACACTAAAATTGGCTTTCTAAAAAAAGCCAACATTTACCTTAAATTTTACCACCCCAAATCACAGGGGTATTTGAAATCAAAAACACTTTAAAGAGTCTGAAAATTTGTTTTGGAAAGTGTTTTAAGTGATTGAATTTGACCTTGTGTTACATTATAAAAGTCTTATTTACGCAAAACATTTTTGAAGCGTCTTGTGTAATTTCTTAGTTTTGTCTTGGTTGCGAACGGCAAACAGCACCTTAACATTCTGAAGCTTATTTTGCTTAATTTAAGGACAAACATTTCAGACTCAAATGTTCACTCCGTTTAACGTCTTAGGCCATTTTATGAATTCACCCAGTGTGTTTTCGTTTGTGTCTTCCAGTGACTTCCTGATTTTGCCGGGTTTCATTGACTTTACGTCAGATGAAGTGGTGAGTACACCTGGGCGATCTCACCTGCAGAATGGATAATGAAATGAAAAGGTCACGTGAGGTCTGCTCTACCTGACGCTTTTTTATATTTTGTCACTGTACTTGTCAAAATGCCGTATTTAATGGAATATTTTAAGCAAGAACCACTGTGTCAATACTCATTTAATCATAGCCTGAAGATAAAGCTAAATATATTCAGTAACCTGCTAACAGGTTCAACGAGTTCAATATTATGCCGCTTCACTGAATCAATTTATTGTTGGAAGGTGAAGATCCATCTTCTGGTCCGTCGTCGGATTCAACGCCAAAAATCTTCCAGTCGGACTGGTCTTTCTGCCACTGCGTTACTGTTTTTGGCTGCGTACGTTTATAGGCTCAACTTAAAATTTTGGCATTTTCCTTTTGGTTACATTTTATCTGTGCTTCCCTTCAGGAAATTTAGGAAATATGAGTCGCAGGACCACGTGTAAAAACAAACTACAACTTGTTGTCCAAAAATATAATACTTTCTTGAAAACTTTTCATTCATACTAATTGGCCAATAGCATTTCCGAGTTACAGAACAAAGACTCTTTTTGGTCACTACCCAAACCGGCCCTTCCATTACAGCTGAGTCATCAAAGCAGCTCCTGTCTACTCCAGACCTAACCTTCATTTTAGCTGCTACAGAAATAGTCTTGTTTTTCCCCCAAAGTGAAAAAACATGTGAATCATTTCTACTCTCCTGCTGCTTTTTTTTTTTTTGCTCGTTTGTGGTCTACCTCACCATCGTGTATGCGTTTCTGTTTTTTTTTTGCTCGTTTGTGGTCTACCTCCGGCTGCTCCCTCACCATCGTGTATGCGTTTCTGTCTGCTCCGTCGCTCCTCACTCCATCACAGCCACAAGTAAATTTCAGAGCTTCAAATTAACCCCCCTGGTTAACAACGGTGTTGTATTTAATCCCACCGTTATCTCCGACTGTTATTGACCATGAACCCATTCAGAACTTCTTCAGAGAAGATTTGCTGCCAGATTTGTTTCTGTTGCAGCTTTGGCTGAAGTTTGAGCTCTGTAAAAACTGAAAGTTGGAGAGCCAGTGCCGGTGGTTTTGTAATTCTTTGGTTTGAGCAGGAACATGAAGAAAGTGCCACGTGTGCAGTGTGTTGTGCTGACGGTCCTCGGTGGGAAATTCCTCAGGGGACCAAAGATCTTGACACATGAATTTAGCAGGGCAGTGCAGAGGGGCCTTTTTTCAACCCCTTCACCATGAACCTCTGAGAAAATCCACAGGGCCTCCACAGTTTACGTCTGTTACTGATAAGGTTTTTCCCAGGCACTGACACTGAGACGTTATTTTCATTCCCCGACGAAGATAGCACAAACCTGCCTCCGGTGGCCTTGGTGGGAATCTGCTCAAAGGTGGAAATTGAAATCTTCCTCTGTACACCAGATCACTGTGTATTCAGGGGATGAAGAACTGTTCTGTTTGAGTCCTTAAATTACGCTGCCCCCTATAGGCAGATTTTGATCATGTCAAGTGTATTTGAGGTTTTTTTTTTTAAAGGGATAATTTTTTTTCATTATTATTATTTGCCAGGACTTGACGTCTGCTCTAACCAGGAAGATCACGCTGAAGACTCCCCTCATCTCCTCCCCCATGGACACAGTCACAGAGTCGGCCATGGCCATCGCTATGGCTGTAAGATGATTCTTTTTATCATGGATAATTTGATCAATTGAAAATCACACACTTGATTAAAAAATGTATATAAAACAAATTTTTTTGGCTCAGTAAGAAATAATTAATATATATACACACAATTAATTTTTGTGCGTTTGCTGTTGACCTTGAACTGCCTTGTTGCGGCAGTCGCTGTGTGGACGCAAGACACAAGACACATACAAATAGAGTCATCTTTACATGTGAATTAATTTTTGTGCGTTTGCTGTTGACCATTAAATCTTTTAAGGTTCTTACAATGTCCAAATTTTACTTTCCAGCTAATGGGAGGCATCGGCATCATCCACCACAACTGCACACCGGAGTTTCAGGCCAACGAGGCCCGGAAGGTCAAGGTAAATCCAACATTGTTTATATGTCGTTGCCGTTGTCTGGATAAAAAAAAAAACCCAAATCACCAAACTGTTGTGTTGTGTTCTGTTCCGGTGTAGGACATGGTGAATGTCTCCTTCATAGGTTTTATGTGTGTTGTTGTTTTGCGTGGATCAACTTTTCACTAACAGTTTTGTGTGTCTTTGTTTTGGCTTTGGTGCTAAACTGACCGTACATACGTCAGGAGGATTAGGAGGAAAATAACTGTTGACCTTTGTTCTTTCCCAGAGGTTTGAGCAGGGTTTTATCACAGACCCAGTGGTGATGAGTCCGCACCACACGGTCGGGGATGTGTTTGAAGCCAAAGTAAGACACGGCTTCTCTGGTATCCCTGTCACAGAGACAGGAAAAATGGGCAGCAAGCTGGTGGGAATCGTCACCTCCAGAGACATCGATTTCCTGTCTGAGAAAGACCACAGTAAACCGCTGGAAGAAGTGAGTGCATTTTCACTTCTATTTCTGTTAAATAAATAAAAAACACCTTTATGCCTTGGGTTAAGCATTTTTTTAGACATTGTATTGATGATGTTCCAGGCTATGACCAAGAGGGAGGACCTGGTGGTGGCTCCAGCTGGGGTTACGTTAAAAGAAGCAAACGATATTCTACAGCGCAGTAAAAAAGGTGACTCGACCGTAGGGCTGCTTTAAGAAGAAAAACAAATCACTGTTTATTTATTTATTTGTATATATACAGTATAGCCATCCGCCATCCTGTGTGGCCATTTGTTGTTGTCACGTGTCCGTTGTTGTCTAACCTCTCCTCCTGCTCCCTGCCTCTCACCAGGCAAACTCCCCATAGTGAATGATAATGACGAGCTGGTGGCCATCATCGCCAGGACAGATCTGAAGAAGAACAGAGATTACCCGCTGGCCTCCAAAGACTCGCGCAAACAGCTGCTGTGCGGTGCCGCCATCGGCACCAGGGAGGACGACAAGTACAGACTGGATCTGTTGGTGCAGGCCGGGGTGGACGTCGTCGTACTGGTGGGTGCCACTGGAGATTAGAACATGGTTCTTAGACCAAAGTTCTCCATCTGTTATTCTGAAACTTTTACCAGCTGTAACTCCAGATATTATTATTATTGTGTCTTTTCTCGCTATGAATGAGATGAAATTGGTCTTTAATTAACAAAGTTTTTTTTGTGTGTGTCCAGGACTCCTCACAAGGAAACTCTGTTTATCAGATCAACATGATCAACTACATAAAACAGAAGTATCCAGAATTACAAGTTGTTGGAGGAAATGGTGAGTGTGATAAGTTGTCCTACAGTTTACACTTAGTAGTCAGTAGTCAAAAGTTAGATAAACCAGAAAAGCAGCTTCTATTTTCTTTAAAAGTGCTACCTCAGCTACTTTTGAAATGCAAACCTCTGAACTAGAGTGGAAATAAAATCACACCAACACACTTTTCTGGATCTAAATGGTATGGAATGCTATCAAAACACATTAAAGCTAGTGGATGGTTGTAACAATCACCACAGAAAGTCCAGGTACAAATGAGTCGAGTCTTGGACTTCATGGTACAATAGTGTACATGATTGTGCACGTTTTCAAATACCTAGCCTAACTGTCTACTGTTTTTCTTCAGCTCGTCCCGTGTCCTAATCCCTTTGTCTCTAAACCTGCGCAGCGTTCCTCTAATACAGATGTTGGTTTGTCTTCCTCACCTGCAGTGGTGACAGCAGCTCAGGCCAAGAATCTCATCGACGCTGGTGTGGACGCTCTCAGAGTTGGCATGGGCTGTGGCTCCATCTGCATCACACAGGAAGGTATGTTGTTCTGTCCCACAGCGCCACCTCCTGACAATATAAGTAAAAAAAAAAAAAGAAATAAGTTTTTTTTTAAAAAAAAAAAAAAAAAGGTAAGGGATACCCTGAGCCCTATCCTTGTTGTCATGGTGATCTACCAGGGCTCTCTAATGTAGGTTGCTATGGGAACCAGGCTCTTGTACCCAGACGAGGCCACATTCATCAAGCTGAAGAAACGTGTTCTAGAGAAGGGGAGCCAGAAGTTAACGCTCAGTAACGATGAGCAGTAACACTGTAGTGTTTCACCTCACCAGCCTCTGTCGTCTGTTTCCGTACTGTGTCACATTGAAGTTTGTTTTTCTGTACCGCAGTCATGGCCTGTGGTCGACCTCAGGGGACCTCGGTGTACAAGGTTGCAGAGTACGCCAGACGATTCGGCGTCCCCGTCATCGCCGACGGTGGCATTCAGACAGTGGGTCACGTGGTGAAGGCTCTGTCCCTCGGAGCGTCCACTGGTGAGTCTGTGATGGGACTGTGATGTCCAGAAGACACTTTATACATTTAGAAATGAATCCATGTATTAATATATGTACACATATATATTTATATATGTTTGTATTCTTAAACAATTATAATTTGTTTATATAAATATATGTAAATTGTCATTGTTACAAATCTGAATAAAAATTATAATTTCTATACTTCATACTAGCTAGTTGTTAGCTGTTACTGTTTATTCTGACTATGTTTATCTGTCACACAGTTATTAGCTAATACTCTATAATAATGGTTAATGTCTGGCTGTACTATTCACTGTCAAACAGTCTTGCTGTCACATATTACTCTCGTAAACAAACCATGAAAGGCTTTTGATTGGCTGGCATGTCTCCCATTGCAGTTATGATGGGCTCGTTGTTAGCAGCAACCACTGAGGCACCAGGAGAATATTTCTTCTCAGACGGCGTGCGGCTGAAAAAGTACCGGGGCATGGGCTCCTTGGATGCTATGGAGAAGAGCACCAGCAGCCAGAAACGATATTTTAGGTAAGTTTTAGACCAGTAGTCATGTGATGTCTAATATATGAATATTGTGATAATGTGCTTTGATCAAACTTTGGAAGAGTGTTAAATGTCCGACGTCCTTGTTAACAGTGAAGGCGACAGAGTGAAGGTGGCTCAGGGCGTCTCGGGCTCAGTCCAGGACAAAGGCTCCATCCATAAGTTCGTTCCTTACCTGATAGCTGGGATTCAACATGGCTGCCAAGACATCGGAGCAAAAAGTCTGTCCGTCCTGCGGTGAGTGGACTGAGTGGTTTTTTTTTTATAAGTGACGTTGGTCACATGTTACTCTGTTAATGTCGCGGTTCAACCTTCCTCAGATCCATGATGTACTCTGGAGAGTTGAAGTTTGAGAAGCGAACCATGTCTGCACAGGTGGAGGGAGGCGTTCATGGACTGCACTCGTAAGAACTGAAATAAAAGCTACTATTTGTTCTACACTTGCTCATGTGTGAGACAAAAAACTTGAACCAAACATAATGCTGTGGGTGATGGGAATTTTTGAAAGTAAAAATCACATTTTGATAAATTTGAATTGTTTTTGTTGCTAACGTTTAACATATTTATGAAAACTTGCGTACACACTGTTCTGCATATGTTTACAAACATGCCCCAAACGTTGCATGCATAAAAATGCTGGCTCTTTGTGGTCCGAGTCCGAGTCAGTGATTCTCAGCCGTGGGGTCGCAGCCCTTGCATGGGCTGCACGTAGTGGGGTATCACATGGGTTATATAAGAATAACCCCAGAAATACTACTGTCCTTGACATGTTCCATGGCAGTGCAGCTTCCTACCACACGGTGCCAGCATTGCTCCCATCAGAACAGATTCACCTGCAGTAAAAGCTAACCTCTCTGCCGTGTTTCTTTTCCTCCACAGTTACGAGAAGCGTCTGTACTGATGTTGCCAACGTCCGGAGAACACGTCAATCAGTAACGGTGCCCAAATGTCAAAACTGCCACTAGTGCTACAAAGAAACCTTGTTTGCCCTCTATGACCTCTCTTTGCCCCCTCCCCCCACCCCTTCCCCACCCTCCAGCCACACACCATCACAGCTGTTCAGTTCCCACTGCGTTTTTGCTGCTGTGGTACAGAACAGAGGGAACCGTCTGTAGAATCTTCAAAACTGACACTAACTCTGGAGGGGAAAAACGTTCCAGTGGAGAAGTGGAACATCAGGGTTTTTCAGAATGACACACAGTTTGTTGACACTGCAGTGTGATCCCAACCGTTGTGTGTGTGTGTGTGTGTTTATAGATGGGAGCATGAATGAAGGTGGACAGTTAGGTGTGTGTGTGTGTGTGTGTGTGTGTATAACCTTGGTATAATTACTTGTGTGGACACTTTTATAAAAAGTGCTCCAGGGAATGACAGGCCCCAACAGAATGACAGTGTATTTACAGTTACAAAATTAACTTTGGGATTATAAATAAGATTATGGTCAGATTATAGATTGGTATTTATGGGATTAGATTTCTAGTCCTGTTAGTTATGGTTGGGGTAAGGTGCTAAGAAATACATTGAAAGAAATGTGAAGATCTCACCAACACTAGTGTGTGTGTGTGTGTGTTGAGAGACTGAATGGGGACTAGAAAAAGTAGGTGTGTGTGTAATATGTCGGTATAGCTATACTTGCGGGGACACCTTTCTAAAAAGAAAAATGCGGGGACATTTTCAGGGTCCCCACTGAGTAAGTGTACTTTCAGGTACAACATTTGATTTGGCCTTTGAAATAAAACTGGGGTTAGATCAGTGATAGGAAAAGGATTGAGATTTGGTATACATTTAAAATATTGGTATGGTTAGAGAAAGGGACTAGAAAAAGAATTATGTGTTCCCAAAACAGTAGGTCTGGGTCTGTGTGTGTGTGTGTGTGTGCGCTTGTGCTTGTGTTTAGTTTCAGTGTCTCTCCATCCATGTACAAGGACAATTGTCTCCATAGCAGCACATGGCCCATCAGCATCTTCTTCTTCCGTTTCCTTTCAAACCAGCACTTGTTCAACAGCCGGAATTAAAAAAACAAAACAAAAAAAAAACACCAACTCAGTTATTTAAAGATGCAAGAAAAGATTGAAACACTTGTTCTTTGCGCGTCACGTCGGAGTGCTTTGTCAGTGTCCAACAAACGTCTTTCCTTTTTTACCTTTTGCTTTTGGTTAAAGCTGTCATACAGCAGACATGAGCTACTTGACAATAAAAGGTATCCGCTCGGCTTTTGCTTATCATTTGTCACAAAGTGTCGGCCTGACGTTCTTTCCTCCTCCACTGTTACTTAAAATCTGCTTGAATCATGTGCGGTTTCTTTTTACGTTGCACATGGGAGGGACCAAATAAAAACAATCTGAAGTTTAACAATCAAGAATATAAGATGACTTTTTGTCAGAGCTGTGTTTAGCTGTGTTTCAGCGCTTTAAATCAAAAAGAGCATCAAGCGGGTTTTTTTGATATGCATGTTTTTTTTTCCACTCAAGCCCTAACGTGGCTGTATTTATATACTCTGCCTAATTGTAAGTGCGTACATACTGCCAAGTGTATTTTACACTTTCTTCTTCTTTTGTAGTAACTTCCAGAAATACCAAATCCCGCACAACAGGTCGCTTGTTATAAACTTTGTTCCTCGTTCATTCCTGAGCCTTGTATTTTCTGTAGCAACTTTATTATATATATATATTTACTTCTTTTTTTTTAAACTAATTTCTGTTGTTTTGTTTTTGTAATCAGAGAAACAAGGATGGAAAGGGCTGTGTAAATGCTTTGAAATGCATTATGGGACAAACACTTTTTTAGCCCTTTCATTCATTGTTTCCTCAGGTTCAGTACTGGCTTCTGTAGGTGTCGCAGATATTTTTATTCTGTTTTTTTTTCTTCTTGTTTTTATTAACAGTTCAATGGTAAAGAGTTGAGTTTTTCTATTGTAACCCTGCTCAGTGTTCACATAGTTAACACACCTGGAAGAAAGTATATGTGGAGATTTTTAAAGCTATACTTGTATTCCGTCAAAGGGCCGCAGATTGTTTTCAGTCCTCCACCAAAACACAACATTCAGGTTCTGGAAAATCAAAGATTTGTCGTAGAAAAAAAAAAAACACTCCAAAACACTTACAGTTCCTTTATTAACCTCGCTTGTGACTGGGATGTGAGGTTTATAGATTATTTTTTAGTGTTGCACTTTAAACATAAAGTATACCGATATATGTGAATACATATATCGGTATATATTTACATATATATGAAGTACACATGCATATATAGGTATAATGCCAATATATCTACATATGTATGAATATATGTATATACATGTATATATGTATACTTTATGATCCTGTCTTCATGATACTGAAAACACAGCTACTGCAATACAACCAAAATCTACTTTTTTCTACGGACTGAAAAGACTCTGTGGTCTTCATGTTTTTGTTTTTTTGAGAAAAGTTATGTTTACAGTAAATACACTCTAGAAAGACAGTTGGCTCATGTTGGTCAATATGGTTAAAAATAAATAAATATGACTGTGTGTGATCTACTGTGTTATTTCCCAAAAATAGTATTTTGTTACTTTTACTATTCAAACGTTTTACAATTGGTCTCAAATATATTTTGATCTTGTGCTGCTTTCTTACATAGTTTTTTGGTAGGGGTCGCTGTTGTTGTGTATCCTTAATTTTATTGTCTGCAAAAGCAATGTGTTTGTCATTAATTAAATGGCAGAAAATGTACCACGACTTTTAATCTGATTTGATAAATGTAAATACAACTACATCCAAAGCTATGAATTATAAGAATTATTAAATATTTTGAAAGTACCTCCACATCCACAATGATGTCTAAAATCCACTGTATCAAAAAAAAGTTATTCACACATAACTGCCTGACACCTTTATTTTAAGCAAAAAGACTCAGCCATTACCAAAACGATCTTTATTAAACACTGTGTTAAAGTTATACTGTTTTTAACATAAATAAATTAGTAAATCACAGAAGAGTTAACTGCAGTGGTAATACAGAGGGAGAGGTTCCACCAGAAGAGGGCACTGCTGCGCCATGACTCCCGTGAGTAACACTATAGGTTCACGAGCTCGATTTAATCTCTATATTTATCATGACACTGGATGAGAACTATATTCTGCTGACTTCAGTAGTATTTTAATAAGTGCTTTACTCCGCCACAGTAGTATCTATTGGAATGTTGGAATTCAATAAAAACATTTTGTACAAATACACTCCTGTTGTCAACAACACAGTAAAATCTTTGTTTTTTACTCATTGACTTTTATCAAACATGAAAAAAGTTACAAATGACCGTTTGGCTTTTGACATTCTTGGCACTTAAATCTTCAAAGACATTCACTGATGACCAAAGCTTATCAATGACCAAAACCCACACGAGCAGGTGTGAAATTCTTACGTGAAAGTTACCTCACTCTACCACTTAGGGCTCAACCTGTAGTTACCATGTGGTCCAAAAGAGGGCGCTCACCAACGATAGCATCCTGGCTCCTCAATAAAAGAAGACTATGGCTTTAGCATGGCTCTTTGTTGTTAGCGAGCTAGCTAATAAGACAAGGAAGACCTGAAAGAATCTAAGAAAGACGGGGCAATTTGGAGTTTTCATGTAAGTGATCCACCGTAACTGTTTGTTTCTCTGTGAAAAAACAACTGTTTGTTCGCCTCAAACCTACGTCTATGACGTCAAAGTAAAATATTTCATTTTACTCACAGCGACCAGACGTTATGATGATATTTTTTATTGTTGTTGAGTAAAGCAGAGTCATCGGTGGCCTGAGGTGAGGCCTATTTTTAAGAATTTTGTAGAACTCATTCATGCTCCCACTCATGCTGTTGGTTAAGTTAGTGTGGATATAGTTTTGTTCACGGTGAGCTGAAGTCATCCAGGGCAGACAGAGGGGCATTAGAGCAGTGTTGACTATTAATGCCTATCTGTCTGTGCAAAGTGGAAAGTGTTTGTTTTTTTTTTTTGTCCTTGTGGAGGAATCTGTGACAGAGTTTGAGCATGTCACATAGAACTACTACTTCAAATAAGCTTTGAAAGGTGACAGTTAGCCCAGGCAAGGGCAAACTAAGGCCCGGGGGCCGTAAGCGGCCCGTTCAAGCCGGCCAAACTTTTCCAAATTATATAATTTATTTGTATTATCATTATACTTCTGGTCTTTCCTCTGCAATACCCACGTTTCCCCATTAGATGGCGAAGAAAATTATAAGTGTTTTAGCATTTTAGCCTTTATGCATGACTTCTACATGTCATTTATCTTAGTTTAGCTCCATCTATCTGCTCCTGACCCGTCCCCGGTGTTCAATTTAGCCCACGTCTGAGTTAGCCAATAGAAAACCATTACAGTCAACTTACCACCAGGGGTGAGACCCGCTTGTAAAACCCCTTATTGTTACCCTCGTTTCTCCAGACTGTCCTTCCTACAAGTCAATCGTCTCACTGCAGATGCTCAAAGCATCGATTTGTCTGCAAGCGTGGATGAACTCCTCCTTCACAGATTGGTCCACCTCAGAAACAACATCTCTGTCCGGGCTTTCATGTGAGGTAGTGCCCCCTGTTGGATAGTGCCTCTGTTGGTCAGCATCTGCCTGGTGGCTACATGATGCCGAATTTTCAGTAGCCCCTTGATGGGGTGGAGGACGTGTTTCTGGGCTTAGGCAAAGAACCAGAGATGAACCTTTGAGAGAGGTTCTGTAAAGGGAACAGGAAGACGAACTGCCCCTCCAACGTTCTGGAGATGAAGCACTGGAGGAGGTGGTCAAAGATGGGGACGGTGGAGCACCTACAATAGCTTCTTTCTGAGATTTCTTTGTGTGTTGCCGGGGATAAGGGACCATCTCTACGCAGGATGAAGTTCGGTAAAGGCCAGAGTCTGTTGACAGAGGATCACAGACGGTGCTGCCGGGTAGAGCTTTGTTGTTGTTGATAGACATGTCGCTGAGTCGAATAGGCCTAGTGGGGCTGAAGAGGCTCATGGGAAAAAGAGCCTCACTGAAGAGCGCTTCATCTATGCTGCGACGTAGGTTAATGGGCGAAGGTGGCCGCAGGTCTGTGGTGGAGTCACTGGTAAATGAGGATCCACCTGACGGGTCTTTACTGATTCCATCCTCAAGTTTTTGTGACTGTCGTAGGTCCAAGTGCAAGTCCAGATCTTGGTAGGCCAAGGCGCGGTTGCTGTGGTAGAGCAGGTCCAGACCATTGAGACGAGTATCGATCCTCTCATCCATCAAAGTGTAAAGAGGGAGGTTCTCAGTCTCGCCAAGTCCAACTGTATCGACAATGGCAAGTTTCTCCTGTTGGCTTAAGGTCCAGTGATAGGTCCCAGGTAGGATCGGGGATTTGGATGCTAACATTTCAGTCCAGCAGCTTCCTGCGTCTGGCAGGTGGTCCGAGCAGTAAACAGGCTGCGCAACTACAAAGGCTAAGGTAAGACAGACTCCAAGCTCGCAGAGTCTGCAGCTGAACTGGAATATCCACCAGGGCCAGGGGTGAAAGACCTCCTCCCCTCCCGCAACTCCCATTGCATTGAGTATCGCAAACAACTGCAGTCCTGCGCACGCCAAAGAAAACAATGCCGAGAGGCAAACAGTCAGGGCTGCACGATCCCAGTCGCGACTCTCGGCAAAGGGACAGCGGTTGTAGCGTTCAGCGGGCGTGGGTGAAGTGTTGTTCAGGTGGTAGATGTGTTTGGAGTCCGCTCGCACGTAGATGTAGAACACGAAGTAGGCAGTGGACAGAAACGAGGCTAGCACTACAAATGCTCCGCGTGAAACGAGCAACAGCAGGAGGCAGTTGGGAGGAGTTTGTTGGTAGAACTTGAAGAGTGTGACTGGACCGAAGGCGGCGGCAAAGTGAAGGAAGACCAGGCAGGCCAGGAAGCAGGGTCTCTGAAAGGTGGAGTACGAGAGCTGCATTCTGGAACGCATGGAGAGGAGGAGGAACACAAGGCCGAAAGCCGCGGTCATGCAGGGAAATGGCGCCTCGTAGAGCACCACCGAGGCCTCTGTGAAGGGCAGGCGGTCCTGTTGGCCGTAGGCATCGTAGAGAAGTGAGAAGGATCTGGTGCAACCGGCAGCTAGGAGGAACAAACTGACCAGGGCAAAGTATCCACACCCCGAGGGGCATCTCAGTGGCAAACAGAGAAGATTCAGCGCAGAAGCTATCGTTAGCATTGCAAATATGCAACCTATCCCGTACACGTGCGCCTCCCATGCTAGGCCCCAGGCTGCCATGGCACTGTTCCAGTCAGTGTATAAGGGTACCAGCATGGGTGGGGCGGGGACCAGGAAGGGGCTGATGGACTGGTTTGTGGCAGTGGAGTTCTGTGTTGGTCTGACGTCCATGGCAGTGGTAGATTCCCAGGTGTCTGAGAGGTTACAGATCCCGGAGCGTTCTTTGTTGCAGTCCGGAAGATATGTGGCGCTGTTGTCCTCCAGGTTGAACGGCCACTCATCAGTGGAGAGAGGGTAGAGTGGGATTTGGGTGGGATTACCTTGAAGGAAAGAACAAATATCACCGTAAATGAGTGAGATTAATAATTTAAAAAGGTCAAATCTTAAAATAGCAATAATGACAAGGACATTTTTGTTTGAGGCACATTATTATTATTCCACTGGGGAGACGACACAGAAACATTTAATCATAGTCTTTAGATTGCCAGATGGAAATCAGGTTGAGTTTCCTCCAGAATGTTGACTTAGTGTTTGTTTTTTTCCCCCGACTCCTAATCAAATTTAAAAGATTGTAAATTATCAGATGCGAGGATCGGTGAAAATTACGGAAGCAATTTCCTGCCAACGTGGATTATGAATGTGTTAGAAGAGAAGCTGGGAGTCAAACAATGTTGAACATATTTGTTTGTTCTTTAATTTATTCATATGCAGAGGTGGTTTGAACACCTTCACGTCCACCTTTATGTTGAAAAATAACTTTAAACTTCCTCCAACAAAGTCTGCTGAATTCATTAGGTCTTGTGGTTTCCCCGCAGTCTTTACCCACAATCCACTGCACTTAAATGAAATATGTTTAAATTGTTTCCAGGATGGAGTTACACAAGAGTTGACGTGTTTCACTTTTTCTCTTTCAACTGGTTCTCATTGCTCTAATGGACTTTCTTTTATAGTCCGTGTTTCTGCGTTTCCCGTCTCCTGATTCTCTCTTTGTTTATGATTTCCTTTGGGAAACTCCCAGAGCTCTAATGTTTTTAATGTTCTAATGTTTTCTCTGTCAAGTTGGACAGTTTTCTAGAGAGAAAAAAAATCACTTTTCTCTCTTCAATGTGTCTTTTTCCATGTTTAATGGCTGTGATTCATGTTTCCACGTCTGTGTAAACCAGGCTCTTATTTGGATTTAAATGGCAGGGAGTTTTCCCAAGATTCACGGAAACCTTGTTCTCTGTCAAGGTCTTATTCCTTATTTGTTGCCTCACTCTGTTATTTCTATCGTCTAACTTGTATTCTAAAGGGCTAACGTTGACCTGTTGTTAAGTTGTTTTTTTTATTGTATGTGAGACAAACCTAAGCTGGAAGAAACTCCCCAAAAAACTGAAGAGCAGTTTTTGGGGACTCACCTTGTTGCATTTTTTACTCCTTTTTTTTGGCGGTATTTTGGCTAACTTTGAGTTAACTTTGAGTTAACTTTTGAGTTAGCAGTTAGCTGACTTTACCTCTGCTTAAGCTACATATTAGCCAGTGTTGGTTATATAGTAACCATGATTGGTCTTCAAGTGGAGTAGCATCAGTTTTGAAGGCTTCGTTACCTCATTAGAGAGACGCTCGCCGCGTTTTATGCAGCGCGAGCTCGGTGTGTAGGAACAACCCGTGGTAATAAAATCCATATTTCAGGTAAGACTCTCTGTCTCCTCACTGGAAACGAGCAGCTTGACATGTTTCAAGTGTGAGTCATAGACAGATGTGGCAGAGAGAATCCTGTCATTTTTCAAAATAAAAGATCGTTCAGCCTCGGTGCCAGTCCGTGGCTCAACTCATCAATATTCTTGGCCTACATTTTGGTATTTCTGCTACGTCATATGTAATTCACTAAATAAAGGCCTGGTGAACTGGATTTATCTTTGACTGCTTTCTTTTTTAATCAAGTCCTGGTGATTCGGAGTAATGACAAACACAGTCGGGATGCTTCCCTGTAGCATCGTTTCTCTAATGGTGCTGCAGCTCCGTGCTGCTCTGATGGAGCAACAGCCGCTTCTGTTTCCCTGTGAGGAACAGGCTGTAACTGCTGCCGAGTCAATTAACCAAATGGAACATCCTGTCTCATAATTGTCATCCAATTTGGAAGGAAGTAATAACTGACAAGCAAGGCCTTATGGGTAAATCTGGATCTGATAGCAAAAGAGTAACATACTAGATAATGAAGGTAAACTGATTTATTTTCACCGTGTAACTGTATGCTTTAAATTTTTAATGAGACAAAGAAGAGAAACTATTAGCTTGACATATTATTTGAAAAGTAAAGTTGAAACATTAACCAAATATATAATTAAAATTATAGACACATTTAAATGTAGTCAAAAAAATAAAAGGATAGCTACATGTCACCAGGCTACCAGCTACAACTTAGGCCTGTTTAAAGAATAGCTACAAAAACAGATAACTGACAAAATGGTGAAATCCAAAATAAAGAAGCTAAACGAGTCAGTTGCTAAAAGCTAAGCCCAAACCCAGCTGTACAGGATTTGAAACTTTTACTGCAGCAGGTCAAATAAATGTCAAATATACGACTGAACTTAGCAATTTTTTTAAGCAAAATAGTCAAATGCTAATGAAGCCAAAATAAGCAAATATAATATATATAATATACATATATTTGCAAAATAGAGCTAGCTTAGCTCAACATAACTATGTGATAATTGCCAAAATATATCAAGATGAGTTAAACTTACAAAAAAACAAACCAAAGCTAAAGCAGATGAAAATTCAAATCTGGCCAAAACAGAGATGAGATTCACAGATAATTCAAGGTCAAAAAGCTGATCTTTTACCATAGATACCGCTCAGTGTTCCTAATGGGTAAACGCCAGTGTCATTATGACGTTATCGTCTGTGAACCATGAATGTCAGGAGGATCCAGTGCTTCGTTGACCAGTCATTTCTGACTGACATGAATTTGTCACTCACATGCAACATGCATTTCTAATGATCCACAGACCAATCGATGATCATTACATACTTCACATATACATGCTAACAGAAATCCATAGTGAACTGGTGCCAAAGCACGGAAGTGTTGTCTCCACAAGAGAGTAAATAAAGACTGTAAACATGTCACACCACTGAACAGATACTAACAACGTGGGAGAATGAAGCAGCATGGAGTCTTAGACAAACACAGCTGCAGACTTCTGATAAAGAGGAGGTGGGCTTCACCCACGCCCCATCACTCTGTTTAGTTTCCAGGGCAGAGCCTCTGGGTCAGATCCAGTGGGGGAAAAAAAACAAGCTACACAACAGGAATGAGTGCCGTGTTTGGCTTCCTGTCTGTCGCTGAATTTCACATCAGAGCAGCCTGATGGTTCAGGACTGGTTTTGGTACCTGGTGGAGGCCACAACCTCAGCTAAACGCTAGCGTCACTTAATAACCTCAAGTAGGTTAGGCTAAAATTGGTAGGAAATAGTTGGTGTTTTCAGTATCTCTACAGAGCGCCACAGTTGACAGGTCTATTTTTGAAAGTCACTTGTGAGCACGTGTGACGACATTCTAGGCCAGGTAAATGTGGGCTACATCTGCTCCAGTGAACTGGGCCGAAAAGAGGATCTTTTTATAAACGTGTTAATGCCGGAAATGAGTTGCGTTGGTGTATAGATAGATGGTGTAAATGTAGGACAGAGCATGAACTGCTAGATAGATGGTGTAAATGTAGGACAGAACTGAAGCCTGGAGGTGGATGACACACATTCACGTCCTCGAGATATCAATGGTGAGTTTGCACAAAGTGGGACAGGGGAAGGCTAGCCCACGAGTAGCTACATATCTGGTCACAGCATGAATGTATTTTCGGGAATTTGAAAATTTGTTTGGTAAAAAAAAAAAAAAGAACACTAAGGCTAACTAAGGAAAGATAGCGCTAAAATTAGCCACGATATAGCTAGGACAATGTTAACTAAAAGAACTTTGACTGAAGGTGGATAAGTTAGCCAAAGATATAGCAAAAAGTACGCCGAAATAATAGCAAAAATAGATAGCCAAAAATGCTAAAATAAAAATATTTTTCTGAAACTAATCAAGAAATAAATATTAAAAAATATAATAATTTAACTTTTAACATTTATTAAGAAAAAAAGTTTTTTTGTGATTGATGCGAAGAAAAGTTGTTCCCCGCACTTTCTCAGTTTCTCAACTCCCTTTGAAAGCAATTAGTAGCTTCAGGCACGGCATGCTGGGTAATTGTTTCGGCTGTTTTTCCTCTGTCAGATAAAAGATATCGAAAAACACAACAGGAAGGATCAGAACACAAAAAGCTGCCTCGCTCTAAACACATGCCTAAAAAAAGAATCAAAGTTTGTTTGGACCACCTGCGGGGACAACGTCAGGCTTTAGGACAGGATCTGACCCACATTACTAGCCTATCAGGCCCACGGTGCTTTGAAGGTGAAACAAACAGAGACCTTACAAAAAAATTGAGTTTAACCCCATGAAACAAACAGAGACCTTACAAAAAAACTTTGCATTTTTACCGCACACTTTAACCCAACATTAACTGTCCTGTCGGAGTGAAAGTGGCCCAAATGTCAAATGCGGCCCATGTGGGCCAGAAATGTTGGTTCGCTTTTTAAGTGAATAATCAACTTATAACTGATACTCGTTTGTTCTACACACACTTTATTGAATCCTAAACCTCTTCGGGCTTCAGCCCATTTGTGGGCCTCATCCTAGTGATTGGGCACGACTACGTCAACAAGAGTTTACTTACTTTTCCATGGAGGCTGTGATGTTGTCGGAGGATTTGAAGAAGTTGTGATTGTCGTTGTCGTATCTTCATCCCCGCCTTCGGCTGAAGGCACCGCTCCTGTCTCGGCCTCCTGGTGGTTCTCCTCCCCCTCTGGACCAGGAGACACAAACCAGAATGTCCTCTGTTAACCTCAGTTCTCATGTCCTTAACCTACTTCTGTCAGATGTGTTGTCCTTTCAGACCCTTGGCTGGAGCCACTGAGCCGTCACTGATCAACTCATCTTTAACTTTGTTGCCCCCAAAGGGCAAATTGGTTTGGCAGCAGGACGGGGTTTAAAAAAACCAGAAAATACTTCCATTATAAACCAATTCAAAGTAACTCTGTCACAGTGGCTGTGATAGGACGAGGACTCTCTGGACCAGTGGTTCTCAAACCATCATATGTCTACCCCCTCAGCTCCCTCTAGTGGTACACAGGGACATTTGCTTCTCATAAGAGTCTGGTGAGTCACGTAACTGTTTAATATCGGTGGTATTTTTTCTCACATGCCTGGAATGTGCGTCTGTGTGTGTTATCCTGGACGTGTGATTGAAGGACTGATACTTTTATCAAATGCAACACAGTATCTTTCATGGGAAAAAGCAGTGAAACAGTCCAAACAAGAGCCTTTTTGACTGTTATCAGCCTTCAACATTTTTATTTTCTCATGATTGTCCTTGCTGCGGGGACATGTGTGCACCTCCCTCAGTAGAGGCTCCGGCTCAGGTGCAGAACATGGACACATTTTGCTCAAGGGCAAAATCCTGCAGCAAACACACAAACACTGGACTAACGACAGAGGCTCTCATTTGTGAGTAACATAATATATATACAAAATATATTATATGTATGTATGTATCTGTATATGCAGATATGTGTATATGTGCATTTATATTAACTATATATTAATTATATATATAATATCTATATAGACATATAGACATGTTTATATATATACACTGTATATATATATATACACTGTATATCATATACATATATAGACATGTATATATATATATGTATATATTTATGGGTGTATATGCGTTTATATTAACTATATATTAATTATATATATAATATGTATATAGACATGTTTATATATATACATATATATATACTGTATATCATATACATATATAGACATGTATATATATATATGTATATATTTATGGGTGTATATGCGTTTATATTAACTATATATTAATTATATATATAATATGTATATAGACATGTTTATATATATACACTGTATATATATATATACACTGTATATCATATACATATATAGACATGTATTTATATACATATGTATATATGTATAAGGGTGTATATGCGTGTATATGTGCATTTATATTAACCAAATTTGGAACCAACCTAATTAAGATACTTTCCCTCCTTTTACCCAGCAAAGAAATACATGTCAAAATAACTCGATGTTTATAGTCAGCTCTGCTGGTGTACGACGGTAGAAGCAGAGGAGACTAAACGGCAACAAGCAGGTTCAGCATCCGTGAACAGAGGAGAAGGTCCCAGGGGAGAGGAGATGGTGGAGGTGTTTTTTTCGCTGAGCGTGCACTTAGAATACTGATACTTTGTGGTAGCAGCCATCCACAGCCAGGCTGATCACCTCCTCCTCCTCCTCCTCCACCCTTCATTTGTCCATGATCTACCACACAGCTGATAACAAGGTGAAGCAGACTCACCCCAGACACAACACATCATCCACTGGGTTAAAGTGACACGGTGGGAAACAGGTGAACCCACACACCCTGGTGTTAGCAACACAAAAATGACTGGGAGTTTGGAAAAGAATCCATTGGGGACACACGAGTTAAAACAGTCAACAATAAAATTCAATAATTAAAATGATTGATTATAAATATATAATAGGCAAAGGTTAATGTTAGCTACAAAACTGGCTAATGCATAATGATAATAAATGAAAATGGAAAGGAAATTAATCCAAAAATCAAACAAATTTAGCCATAATAAAAAAATAGCCACAACAAAAGCTCCTGAAGTGTCTGAAATTTAAAAAATAAGGTTTGTCATAATTTAAGTTTTTACATTTACATTAACTTTTTTTAAAACTCATTAACAAAATGCCATTAAATTGGAAAGCTAGTAAAAAGTAAAACTAAAAAAAAATGTATCCGACTTTGTTTAAAATACACAGCAAAACATACAGAAATGTTGGTGTATATTTGAATTAGATAAAACAAATGTTTAACAAATTTGGGTAAAAAACTCAACTTTGAAAAGCAGGAAATTGGATTGGTGGTCAATCATATGTGATGTGTGATATATTGTGTATATATAAATGAATACATGATATTAATGTATGATCTTAATGGACTTTGGATGAGTTGACAGTCGATTCATATGAGAAGATGATTATCATGAAGACGTGAAAAACTGCAGACAGAGAATAATCATCTCATCATTTCCTGTGGCAACCTTTGAACCAGTGAGTGATGAATGTGTCTGTCCTTGAAGAAGCGAGGACCAAGGACCTCCGGCTCCTCTGCAGGCTCATTAGACCCCAGACTGCCAGCAGTTCTGGAGGGGGATGGGTGTCAGAGCAGGACACGCCTGGATTCAAACCCGGCAGCTTTGACTCCAACTCTCTCTCTGTTTGTTCTCTGAGCTAATGGTGTGTTGGTGCGATGTTGCAGTGAAAAGTCATCACATGAACTGTTAAAGCAGCAGAGCTCACGGCGGTTGTTTAAAAGGCGGGTGGTAGGAAATAGAAAAGCCGGGAGCAGTCAGTGAACGCAACGTTAACTTAAAGAGAGTTGATGGAGTCGGTAAAGAGCAGCGACGTATCACTTAGGAGGAAAACTGGTTAGCCACGACAGATTGAGAAAAAAACAGTGGTTTATTTTACTGTGTTTGAGGAAATAGAGATTTGGAAAAATCTCCTGTGTTTGAGGAAATAGAGATTTGGAATTAGAATTAAAAACTGCTGTTGGAATTAAACTAACATTTCAGATCAACCCGTGGTTGTCAAAGATTTTGTCTAAAACAAAGTTTGTTGAAAAGACCGTAGGAAAAATAATTCCACAAAATATTTTTTACTTTTATATGTGCTGGTAAAGTCATCCCAAACAAAGCCATCTACAGTGTGGATGCTAAATGTTAGCACAGAAGTAGCTACAGTTTTGCAACAAATACAGCCATAAAATAAAAAAAGTTAAGCTGGATAATGTTTCAGTGAAAATCAAAAATAGGCACAAGATAAGAAAAAATGTTGTATTTTCTACATAAATAAAATAAAAATGAATAAAAACTGCGAGAGAATGGAACAGAAAGAGCTAACGATTAGCAGAAAGTGGCAAAAATTAGCTGAATTATGCTGATATAAAACCAACTTACTCAAAAAAAAAAAAAAATTAACCAAACCCCAATTTTTTAACATAACCTCTTAGTCTTCAAGAGCGATATTACCATCCAAGGACAGGTGGCGCTATGCTAATTCCAGATGTTTTCCATTATACTGTCATACATGTAATGGATCGATCTGTACCTTTTGACACCCGATCATTGGGTTCTTAAGACCTGCCAACAGGTGATTGATCACACCAAGCCCAGACCTATTGACATGCCTACCTGCTGTAATCGGTTCCTCGTCGCGTCGCCTTTGAGTGCTGCTGGTTATGGATTCCAGGATCTGTTTGTGATCGATGCCCACGGCTGCTGTCGATACCACAGGCTGTGCTGACCTGGCCTCGAACAGCGCCTGACTTCGAGTGCTGTGATCTTTGAACATTGTGGTCTCATCAGCATACGTGGTAATGCTAACGCTAACGCTTGTGTCCTGTGGTTTTCTGACAGATGTGGTGGGGTCAAAGGGTCTTAAAGGACGTCTGGTACTCTGTGTGGTCTCTGCCCGTCTGGGCCTTGTGGAAGTGGTTTGGGCTGCAGCCCATGTCAGGGCAGTGGGTACTGTAGTTTCTGGTGCGACGGTGGTCTTTGTAGTAAAACCTCCTTTCTCCTCCTCCTCAGGGAGGTGTTGTTCAGCGGCACCCATGCTGTGCACGGCTGCTTCTGTGATTCCCGGTGGTGGGTGGGAATGTGTTGCATTTTGTTGCGGAGCGTTCGTGCTGCTGGTTGGGCTGTCAGTGAAGAGAGCGCCTGTGATGGAGCTGCTCGTGGGAGAGTGGGAGTTAAAAACAAGTGTGACATTGTTGGTCTGCGCTGAGCTGCTGTGTGGAGAATCTGACGTCCCCGTGGGAAGTGATTCACCCCGTAACGTTGTCACTCTGATTAGGAGCTCCTGGGAAGTGATGGCTCCTTCAGATTCACCGGAATCATCCCCTGAACCTTGGTCTTGATCAAACACTTCAAGCGTCAAGCCTTTGGCAGTTGTGCTCGGCCCGTCAGTCTTTGGGTCGTCGCCGTCCGAGCTGCTAAAAAACGGGACAAGGAACTTGGGCAGAGACGGAGTCCAAAACCAGCTTCGTTTAGTCTCTGGCGGGTTCTCTCGAGGCGGCGTGGGTCCCCAGAGGGCGTCTTCGTCCGCCACAGCCTGCCTGACAAGCAGCAAATACCACCAGAAGCAGAGCAGCAAGGTGCAGCGGAGGCGAAGCATGCTGACGGTGGAGGCCAACGGAGCAGTCACATGTTGTTCTACCTTCTCAGGTTCCCTGAGGACAGTCTGGGTTCTCTGGGTCTCTGATGTAAATGACCTATCAAAGAAAACAACACAGAGAACGTCCTTAGAAGTTTGGGTGAGGAACACTTCACTTACAGCTTCTTAAAGACGTTGATTCAATTCCCAACTGGATGTTCAGAAATCCAGATGTTCAGCTTCTGTTCAGGCTCATAAACTGCAGACAGTTGTCAAGTTCCAAACCACATCACCACTAAATTTGATACACATCCTAAAAACAACGCTATTAAATCGAGTGTTTGTAATTGGGTAAATGCATTAGTATTTTTTTTTACACTTGAACCAGGTCAGATACACTTAAGATTTTTAGTTTATCAACTGTTGCATTTTTGATTCGATCATTTGGCCTTTTTTTATGCTGTACATTTTTTTTACATTTTTTCTTTTTTTTTGGTAAAAGAGAATCTTTAGCATATGGTTGAATGGAGCTAACAGCGAGAAAATTGGTGTTTTGGTTGATGGTATATTTGTCTGGAGTTTTCATTCATTCAGTTTTTGGAAGTACTCTGGGTTCCTCCAGTCCAAACACTTAAGCGAGATTAGCTTAACTTGTTTACTTGTCTAGTTATCCGGAGGGGCCAGTGTGAGTGTGAATCGTTGCTGATTCTCTATACAGTATGTGGCCCTGTGAAGGACCTGTAACCCCACCCTCGCCTGACGACTGCTGGGATTGGCTGCTCTCTCTCCTCTTCCCAATAAATGATAGAAAAAGAAGAAAATGATAGAAAAATAAATGATAGAAAAAGAAGAAAATGAATAAATGAGAAGCCACGGAAAACTCTTCTCCATTGATACATTTACTCTCATTTTTATTGTTAGGCTAGTTTTGGGGGTTCATCGCAGGATGTAAAAACCTTTACAGAAAAGCTGCCGGACACTCAGTGACACTTGCTGCTAAATTTGAGCTGACAAACACGTCAGGACTAGTGTTCTATTTTTTTTTCTTTCTTCTTGACTTCACTTCCTGAGAATTTGACCTTTCTTTTTCAGCCATTTTTCCAGACCGCAATTAAGTACGGCCACGATGCCCAGCCCATTACAAGCGTCTGCTGAAGTTAGCAGAACCCCCCAAAAAAGAAAAAAAAAAAACCCAAGTCATCTACCGCACGTCACAACAAGAGCTTATGTTCTACAGACACCCAGGAATTAGTGGTTTCCTGTTTGATGTGGCGGTCAGTATTTATGTCGTGCAGCGGCCTGGTGGCTGCATCCAACGAACCCGGCAACTAATGGGAAAAACTGGAGTCCATATGCATCCTGTTCAACAAGGAGTGGCCGTGAAATAATGTGTGAGAGCCCGGATGGGGGATGGGGTGATAAAAAAAGAAGGGGTCCAACGTTGGAAGAGTGGGGAGATCTTTTTTCTTCTGTGGTTCAAAGTCGGCAGCCTGTTGCAACCTGTATGCTTTAGCTGGACTTAACTCCCCTCCTCTTTTTTTTTTTATACTTTCACCCACACCCACAACTCAGCCCTGGCCTCGTTCTCTTCCAATCTCAGATTTATTTGGACTGTAAAGCTGAGGGAGAAAGATGTGTTTGTGTGAGAGTGGAAAAAAAACCCCATCAATATTCTCAGGGAAACGCTTCCACAGCGATACGTTCTCCGCACTTTTTCCTCTGCTCTGTTTTTAGTGACTTCAACAGAGCTTTTCCAGCTTAAAATCAAGCACTTTTAAGATTTACGTTGAACATTTTTTTGACTAACATTTGTCTATTGTTGCTACACGTATGTTCAGGCTAACCTTTAGCGGTATTTGGACAGTTTAAAGCTAATCTTTGGTGAAAGGTCAAATGTACGGTCATATTCTGATGGGGTTTTTTTATTTATTGTTTATTAGCTAACATTTAGCTCATCTCTTTAGTCAGTGCACGTTTTTTTATTTGTGCTGGTTGTTTAGATATTTATAGTGTATTGAATTTTCTTGACTTGTAGCTTTTCTGATGAAGATTATTTATATATCTCTACCGTTTACTAAATGTTAGACATTTTAACATATATTAACTGTCTCTTTAGCAATTTTAACATATATTTTGACTAATTTTCTGACAGGTTCAAATATTTGGACTTATATATAATTTTGATTTAGCTACATTGCAGATTATAAGGTGTTTAAGCTAATGTTTTGCTATGTCTATGCTAAGTTCATGTTAGCACTTTGGAAACTGTTTTGAGCTACCTTCACTATCATTTATGGCTACATTTTAGTTCAAATCAGATCAGCGATAAATTTAAGCTGTGTTTGCAAAAATGTGGAAACAATTTTAGCTTTAATGTCAGAAATATTTTGGCTACATTTAAGCTATTTTTTGCTAACTTCACTATTTCCTTTTTTAACTCTATATCTTTTGCCGAAGCGTGGCTATTTTCTGGCAAAATTCATGCAAAGTTTTGCTAATATTTACCTGAAGAGTCTTATTTTCTGCTGTCCTGGCTGTCCTTAGTAAGAGTCTTATTTTCTGCTGTCCTGGCTAACCTTTATGAATTTTGGATAACCTTTAGGTTTTGTGCTAAAGGTTAGCTAAGTTTGTCTTCCTCACATTATTAGCTTTACCACTTTATTTCTTCATGCACATTTATACTTTTTCCCAGGCTTGTTTTTAGCTCTTCCAGAGTCAACGACTTGACCTGCCGTTGGCCTCTTTGCTCCCACCTGGAGGCACGAAACCAGACAGGATACAGAGTCGGACGCTGAGATGTTAGGAATGACTACGTGGGAGGATTTGAACAGAGAGCTTCCCACACAATCCCTATTTTATTATTCCATGTAATACAGTATGAAAACCAAGTCTTAGTGACGGGGGCTCGTGCTCTGAGCTGCCCAGCCCACACACGGTCATGTTTCGTGTGCGCAGACGGACGTAGGACCGTGGATGAACAACTGCATCTCTGGGCAGTGCAGCTCCTGCTCTGGCCTGTAGGTGGTACACAAACACCCACGCTCACTGTCATCAGTCTAAAGGGGAAAGCCAATCATCATTATCATTAAAAAGGAGAAGTGTCGTGAGGTGGACTATATTTCATCCCTGAATACGTTGTTTGTAGTTCCAGTCAATAATTCAGTCCAGTGGTGTGACTTACAGTCTCATGTTTCCCTCATTTGTTCAGTATCAACTGGTCTGATAATTGAAAACTCGTACTGTCTCTTGTGGAACCTTCTCAGTCCAACACTTTGTTTATTTTTAGAACTCCAGGCAGAATCCTGTGAACGTTTGGCTGTTTTTTCCAGGCCCTGAACCAAATCAAAGAGTTTCCACCTTTTTTTTTTTTTTTTTTTTCTCCAATTTTTATTCAACTCAAGTAGCAAACCAGATGGTACTTTGTTAATAGCTGACTCATACTATCATGGCCGGCATTTGAGCTTTCCTATAAGTTATTAATACTTCCAGCCTGAAAACTTTTTAATTCACACCACGTCAGCAAATTTCCTCTCTTCCTCTGTTCTTACTCCTTCTAACACATGGAGGCGCAGGAGCCTAAAGAGACTTATTATTATTTAATTTAGACTGTGGGGCAAAAACACATTATCTGGGGGGAAAAAAGCTAATGCTAATTTGCAAAGAATTGTCACATAACTTACGTAATATATCAAACTTTTTTCTAACTTTCAAAGATAAAGTTCAACAGGTGGTCGAAAAATACAAGTGAACTGTGTCCTTGACATCATCACAGTTACATCTGAACGTGATCACTGTTGTTTTTTCCATCTTCATTATTTTTTTTTTTGTCAATTTGTCCATGTTTCTTTCAGCTTTGGGAGAAGAAGAAGAAACAGACAGAAGGATTGTAGCTTTTATCACCCTAACCTGCTGCACATCCATTTAAGCTAGTTAAGCATCAGTAGTAACATCTACTGATGAGTCTGAGACTAAATCCCATTTTTTTCTTCTCAAGACTCTGGACTCTGCTGTGCATGTGGTCAATGGAGCCAAAAGATGGAGAGGTAGTGGGGGAGGAGAGGAGGAAAGAATTACTTCCACTCCATTGTGGCCAGAGCATTCGAGTGAATCGAGCAAACAGGTCCACAGAAACAAGTGAGGAAAAGAGAAGCCATAAACTTCATACTTACCAGTGGATTTATTTCGCATTAAATACCTTCAGGATATTTTTTCTTCTTCAGACTGAAAAGATTTCCTAACTTCATACTTACCAGTGGATTTATTTAGCATTAAATACCTTCAGGATATTTTGTCTTCTTTTTATAAGACTGAAAAAATGTCTCCCTCTGCTGATTGAAATGTCACATCTAGGTTAAGAAAAGGAGAGTGACACTATATTGTTTTGCTAGAAAAAAGCTGAGAATGAATCAACATGACTTCTACATGTAGTGGCTCATTGGACGTCCTGATTAATTGGTATTGATAATTTTGTCAATTCACAGATTAGGAATATCATCCTACATTGAGCCATTGCAAATAATCCAAAGCGCTACATGTGGATCGGGAGCCACAGGTTGCAGACCAAGGCCCAGGTCCCAGCAAATCTCTTTATTTCACCAGTATTACTGACCCAGGACCACCTAAGACAGGTGCCGCAACCTATGGCTCGCGGGCCACATGTTGCTCACTAGCCTCTCTGCAATGGCTTCCTACAGTGGTCCACAAAAAAAAAAAAAAAACATTGAATGATGCAGACCCCTGGTCTAGCATACTAACCAGCCCAACCAACGAGAAGCAGCCAATTAGAGGCAGAGTAGGGGCGAGTGCACGGATGTGCCAATCTGCTGTTGTCGATGAGTCTGCCAATGGACACTGAGCAATTTGGGTTTGGTGGACGTTGACTTGAGAAAAAGGAGTTCGACTAAACAAACAGCTACAAAGCCCTACAATCTGAAACCCAAGCAGCACAGTTTCAATAGAAAAACGACAGAAAGACAAGCCCCCAATCCCTAAAATAAGCCGGAGTCGGCCCCGCTGCTGCACAGCCTCCCTGATACCGGCTCCCGTTTGTTGTCAGAGTCTCTTTTATTAACTGTGTAAACAGACTCCAGTCTTTCAATTTACTCCCTCTCTCTATCAGCCATCTTGATCTCGACCTGCGGCAGAAACCCTGCCTCCTCGTTTCTTGTGCCCACTGTAATAAGGCCGCTGAGGTCGAGCAAAGAAAGAGACCGGAGGAAGAGGAGAAGGAGGACTGGATTAGAGGTGCACGTCTCTGCTGAGGGGCTGGGTTGTTATACTGTAAGAGGAGATGAAGTGACAGCGGACGGTTGTGTCAGTGTCGTTACCGTCAAACGAACCTGCTGTTAAGCAGGACGAGGCTGGGCGTTCATTTAGCATCATTTAGCAGGACGAGGCTGGGCGTTCATTTAGCTGCGAACGCTGCCTGTAGTTGTTGGACTGTTTTCTGTGTTTTGTTTTTCTCCTGCATGTGAATCCTCTGTGTGGGAGTGAGTATTTACATGCACGAGTTCTACTCTAGGTTTATCTCCATGGTGAGATGTATAGGTTTGCACCCTCACGTGGGGAGTGTTTATTTATACGAACGTCCGCCCACTCTGTGTGTGTGTGTGTGTGTGTGTGTTTGTTCAATTGCAGCTCTGTTGCTCATCTAAACGCTGGACGTATGGCTTTTTCCACTGGTCCAGGTCTGACTCTGATGCCACACAGAGACGGTCAATATCACACTGATTCAATTTGCCTGCATGGCTGCTCTGAAATGGACCAACGGACAACAACACATAATTGCAGAGTGTCGGAGGGTGTCAGTAGCGGTGTGTTCATCTGTCAGTCGATGTACTGCAGTACAGTCGCGTTGATCACACCGTCATAATCTGACTACGTAGCACTTAAACACTTGTCCGGCCCCGCCTATTCACTCAAAGCACTCGAAACACTAGCAGATGGTAGAAGTGAGCCTCCAACATCCCCATTAAAAGACAATCTCCCTATTGATCCACAGCTGCCCCACCCGAAGAGTTAGCATAAAAAGTACAAGAATGTACATTAAAAAACAAAAACAAAATGTAGCCAAGAACATATTTAAATCAAGACAGAAAAGCGTTGAATGCGGTAAATGCTATCAAATAGCCAAATCGATGCTCGGAAAGATTGCCTTTAGCTAGCCAGGGATTGCGACATGTTGACGAAAACAAAGCTAAGGTGATAGACAACAAGTTATCTGAATCTCATTCCAAAATGTTTTGAAACATATCAAGGATAATGGTTCATTCATAGTTCCCCATGAAAACATAGCTAACGGCTAACTGCTTAGAAAAAGCTAGACGTTAGCTATGTACACACCTAAATGTAAACTTAGAGATAGCTCAAAGGCTAACATATTTGTGCCAAATGTGTCGTAACACAAGTGGGCCAATCCAGACTGAAATCCATTTCCAGTGGGCCAGACCTCAGCCGGCAGAGCTGCAGTGTTGCCAGAAGTGGCCCACATTTGCTTGCTAAGTGGGTTTTGTAAATATAGGGCTGCTGACTGAATAGTAAAATGTAGGTTGCAAAGCTGTTTTTAATGCCCCATGTTGACATTGGGATATTTCTGACGTCTGCATTCAGATTCATTTGCGACTTTATTCAGACAACACTGTTTTTTCACCATGCCTGTAGTGAGAGCTGCTCTCATTCCTAAGAATAGCTCAGCATCAGATGCAGTAATCCAGCTGCTCATGTTCATTCTCCTGCTTTTAAAACAAGTGTCCCGGGTCCTGCTACTCACAAACCAAACTAATCCTATTTTTTTGGTCTAATCTGAGTCTTTTTGTGGTTTTCTGGTATGACCATAGTGACTCAACATGAACACTGGCAGACAGGGTAAACATATTAGAGACTAGCTGTAGCTAAAGGAACTTTGACCACGCCTCAAACTCTGTAAGGGTGTGGCCCAATGGGCCAAGAACACGGCTAGGTCTTAGATACAGCCGAATGTTTGCACAGGAGAAGGGTGTGGCCCAATGGGCCAAGAACATGGCTAGGTCTTAGATACAGCTGAATGTTTGGTAAATATATTCCAACAAAGCAAAAGGTGAGCTAAGAAAATTTGCTACGTATTAGCCTGGGAATAGCTACAAGGACGTAACTAAAGTAGGTACTTATAGCCCAGAAATTGTTAAATGTTAGTCTCGAGTACATTTAAGTCTTTAACTTCAAGTACATAAAGGGCGGCGGCCAAGATAGCTAAACAGCAGCCTGCAAAACAGACACGATTTTCACATTCGATTTAGCCAAAGTTAGCCAAGAAAATAGTGAAACGTCGGACTAAAAACAGCTACCAGTCAGGCAACAAGATAGATAACGTTTTGCCCAGAATGTGACGTAAAAAAAATTTAACCAAGAACCTAACCCAAACTAGCTAAAAGTTGGATGAGAAAATAGCTTAAGGTTAGCTTAGAAATACCTGTAAGTTAGCCAGGAATACAGTTATTTTTTAATCAATTCACCAAAGTAACATTCATGTTGTCCCTGCACGGCATGTCACGGCGCGCTGCGTGTCAGCTGTGGAGGTGAAGGATGCAGCTCGGGGTTTGAAGACACCGCAGACGTCCCGCTGCATGGCTGCCTCTGCCATGGTGACAGCTGAAGCCAAAGACGTCTCGCTAATCCCCCGGGATTGGAGGATGCCTTTTGGATTCAAGCTACTTCTGCTGCGCTGTTATGCAATGTAGACAGTCTCTCTCTCTCTCTCTCACACACACAGGATGCTGCCAAAAACACACACAGGTATACGACTGGTCCATCCTTAGGTAGATGTCCGACTATGATACAAATGTATATCCATCCTAGTACGTGAAGTACAAAGTACTGCGTTTAAAAACAACTTATCATTCAGTCAACGATTCCCTGAGATGATGCTTTGACGTATCATTATTTCACCCGTGCAGTTTCATGGCTGTGAGTACAGTGTGTGTCATCAGACGGCAGCACACACACACACACACACACACACACAGGACCAAAAGCCACAGGATTCGTACATTTAACTTCAGACAAGGTGCACTGCAGATGCAGGCAGAGAGAAGAGAGAAGAGTCTGGAATAATGTCATCTCCTTACCTGTGTGGGAAAGGATGACGACGCAACAGCAACAGCAACAGCAACAGGGATGAGTAATGTGTGTGTGAGTGAGTGTGAGTGTGTGAGTGAATGTGTGTGTTCTGCAGGAGAGAGCTCGTCCTTCTGAGCCCGTGTAGGTTTGTGAGCTGCTGTGTGGATCCAGCCTCCCTCCCTCTCCTCTCTCTCTCTCTCTCTCTCTCTCTCTCTCTCTCTCTCACTGTCTGACTCTGTATTGGTCTCTCGCTCACTGCATCAGCGTGGTCTATACTATCTGGCTTCCATCACAATGCCGGCGGTCACACCTCACTGAGCTAATGTGGACACTGAGAACACTGAGAACTGAGGCTTTGGCATCAGGGCCACACAGTTGGGCAACACACGTCCTGACTTCAATACACATATACATATATACTGTACATATATCAACATAGTATGAATACTTCAACTGCTTCCTATTGCAGAAAGTGACTCTTAAATATATATATATATGTATATATATATATATATACATATATATATATATATACACATATATATATATACATATATATATATATATATATACATATATATATGTATATATATATATATATACATATATATATATATATATATACATATATATATATATATATATATATACATATATATATGTATATATATATATATATATATGTATATATATATATATATACATATATATATATATATACACATATATATATATACATATATATATATACACATATATATATATGTATATATATATATATATATTTCAATATTTTATTTTGGATTTGTAGATGTGGGCCACTAGAGATAACCCATTGTTGTAAATGGGCCAACGCATGTTGTGTGACCTGTTGTTTTGTCCAATGTATGAGAAAAAGTTTAGACTCACTTCAGGTTTGAGACCCATAAATAAATGTGGGCCACATGAAGCCTGTAAACGATTGCCAAACATGGGCCAGATAGGTAGTGCGGCCCAAAATGTGTGGGTCGTAGACATCTTTTGTACGGACCACAGTCCACTGACGGCTCCCACCATCGCCTGCGTCTCACCTCTGACACAGTAGGAACATTATATTCCAGATCCCCGTCAGTGACTTATCTCTGTTGACATCTATAGGTGTCCAGACAGAGGGAGTTACTGTCCACATGATTCCCCCGATCCCTATGATCCTCAGGAATGTTTCAAATATAGAAACAATCAGTGAAAACTCCCAGCCTGAGGAAACATACCGTCATTTCCTGAGTGGTGGCGCAGCAGAGCTGCCTCTCATCACGCTCCTCATGTCCTCTACTGTTCAGGTGCATGTTGAAAAAAAAAGCACCGAGTCTTTCTGAGTCTGAAACACTGTCTCTGCCGTTTCTCTGACCTTCACAACTAGTTGCGACAGCGACATGCTAATGAGGTGTGTATATATTACTCGCAGTCCGAAATTAGCTGCGGCTCAGGGACTAAATGGCTCACTCATTATCTTAAATTGACCTTGAAGTTTAAATCGACACTCTGATGTCGGCGTAACATATATATTTAGCTTTTGCGAACCATGAATCGGAATATGTCCTGTTAAGCCTCAGTAGTGTTTAAATCTGCCGTGTCTTTGGTCAGATATAAATTAATATAAAACTCTATAAATATTTTCTATTAATGCTACGCTATTGAAGTTAGAGTTTCAAGTAACAAACAAATAAATAAATAAAACATAAATCTAACACATAACACCTTTAACTACCAAGGAAGCTAACTAGCTAAATTGTAAAAAAAAAAAAGTTAGCCTTAGATAGCCAAAGATAATACATAGACAGCTAAGTGCTAGCATTTGCAGTTTTGGACAAAAGCCAAAAAGGCCAACGAAAATTAGCCATCCATTTAACTAGCCATGAGTAGCAACATGCTAGCTTCAAACATGTTCAATCTACGCTAACTATGGCTCAAAATGATCCAACTAAAGGTAGTTCTACAGTTTTTAAGTGAACCCCTGGGGGCAGCATTGTGAACTTTGTCACATATTCCTGTGGTTCTACTCTGTCTGATGGCCGTGGTCCCCAGTGTATTAAAGGTAGCACAATGTAAACTAGACCAGGTTCTGAGACTGTGTTTGTGTGTGTGTGTGCGTCTGAGAAACTGAGCTCATACCAATGAGCTCTCCTCGTACACTCAGCTGGCTCCGACTTTCGGAAAGTGCCAGACAATGGCAGATTGTTAAGATTAGAGAAAGTTTCTTTGTTTGAAAAAAGAAGGGAAACAATGGCGTGTATCCACAGTTTATTAGCTCTGCCATCTTTAGGGAACACACCCAGTCTTTTCATCGTCTGTTTATAGTGTGGGCAAGGTCAAATGCTCACATCCTTAACAATGCAAACCGCTTTCTTGTGTTCAGCTTTCATTCCGGACGACTTGTTCATCTTTATGATCTTAACGTATGCAGCAGCAGCAGCAGCAGCAGCAGCATCAGCAGCAGCAGTCATGATGTAAATATGACCTTTGAAAAAAAAATCCATACTGCAGACAGTCTGACAGAGGAGGGGATTCAATAAAGACTTGGCCAATTTTAACATGCAACGCGGCGTCCAGTGAAAGATCATCTTCTCAGAGAGATTTCCCTGCAGATTTGATTTAGCTGGTTAGCTGTGGCAGATAAAGATCACTTATGTGACCTTGGGGAACCAGTCCACTGAATTTGCATGACTTACATACACAGAGGAGGTCAAGCCTGTGTACTTCTTATTTGTGTTTTCTTTATTAGGACAATGTTAGCAATTTTTTTTGTTTAAATTTATCTTCTGGCTAGCTCCAATCTGTGTCGTGGCTAACTTTGAGCTATCTCTTGGGGCAGCTGGTCTATCTATGGCATGTCCTGGTTAATTTCATTTTAGTCGTTGACATTTTTTTAATTAATTGATTTAGCTCCTGGCTACAGTAGTTGTTAGCTATTTTGGCTAAATCTTACCTAGCTAGCTCTATGCTATCAGTTGTCTGCTGAATGTTTTGCCTCCTCTGTACATATTTATTGCTAATTAAACATTTGTATATATAGGTAGTAAATATATTAAAGTAGTAAAACAATATAATGTATGTAGTTGCCACCGTTCCTCAGGGGAAGGATGTGTAACAAAATGTTGACTGATGTAGCATAAGGGAGCAACGTGTGCCGTGTGATACTTGAACGCCAGGCAATATAATGCTGTGTAATACAATACACATAACACTGCATATGTGACGTAACATGAATAAAAAAAAAAAAAAAAAGAATTTAATAAGCAATGTAAGAAATCTAATGTTTAAAACGTAACTTGGGAAAATAGCCTAACAATAATAAGGTAACGTGGTGTTACGTGTACTGTATTTTCTCAGTAACGTTATGTTTTAGCTGTAGCTGTGCAATTCCAGAATAATATTGTTGACACGTGTCATGCAATTTAGCTCAATTAATGTAAATAGCACACAATAATTATGTAATGTAAGTAATGTAGTTTAAGTAAAGTATTTAAAGTAACTTAAAACGTTGCGTGTAATGTTAGCAATATTGACATTAGCATTAGTACCTAGTACTGTTCATGGGGTAACGCTGTAGTGTAGAGTAAGTAATGGAACCTCGGTTATTGTAGCCGTCTAAGGTTAGAAAGGGATTTGAGAAATGTCAGTAATGAAGTTGTTCAACAAAATTATATTTAATATTTAAAAAATGACAAGTAGAGTAACGTTTCCAAAGGTTCGGGTCGGTTTTCCACTGAGGTTTTCCCGTTCCGTCTTCTGTAATTAACGACTAGTGCTCATGTCTCATACATCAACTTTAATCCTACTGACAATGGAACAAGGCTCCCATGCCAATAAGGAAAATTGATGGAATAATAACATTAATAATATCCTTCCAGTGTCAGGTGACAGGTTCCACGCTCCAGCTGCAGCAGCCTGTCTCTGCAGCATGAATGCAAATCACCAGGTCCCATGTAGAAACGTACGAGAAGAACTGAAAGATAATCACGCAGAATCATATGAAAAATACGTTCCATACATTCATTTCTGTATTGAATATTTTAATGCAAATTTTTTACCCACCGAATATATATGGTAGGAATGCTAATGCTGTTTAATTTTATAATGATATATATTTTTATTATATATTTTTTTCTGTTTAAATACTACAAAGTATTGTCTCACCTTTCCTCACCCTCCCCATCCTTCAGCTTTTCTTCTTTGATTTAAATGACAGCTCTGCTTAAGCTTGTAATACTGCCATCTACTGGCAACTGCCAACATTTTTACACATTTGCAAAAAAAGTAAAAATGAGCAAATACAAGAAAAGGGCAGTATTACTACAGATCCTTCTGTTGGCTGAAGGTATTTTATGACTTCCTGTGTTTTCCTGTGTATTTTAACACTAAAGTCTTCTTTAAAGTCCAGCCGTTAATGATTTAATTACCCATGGTTGTCATTGATTTTAGGCCTTGTATTTTCACCTAAATAGGACCATGGCAGGCTGACAATCACAGATGAAAAGGAAAGCAAAATGAACGCTGGCCCATGGCCAGCATCTGGCCCACGAACCTCGTATTTGCGAAACCACGAGCTGAACATGTGAAGGCGGCCTGTTTTTCTTTACTTCACTCTGTTTGTTTTGGTCTGGTCTGAACATGTGACTGTGCTGTCATCGCCATGCCAACGACACGCTCACAGGGTGTTAGCGAAAACAGAACTTTTATGGTTTCACTTTTATTGCAGTGATCTTATCGTTGACTTTGTTTATGTATATTAATTTTTGATTTCCTGAGGTCGTTCATTTAGTTTGGGCCTGAGACCAAAGAGACGACAAAACACATTTCTTTTTTTAAGGTTTTTGTTTGTGTTGAATGAGAATTTATTTGATTGTCTAAATGGAGATGGTGAGTGTTTTTTTTTTTTCCACGTGGGCTTTTGTTTGTTTTTAATAAAAAACGGACAGTTTTTATAATAAATTCAATTTAGTTTCACTGGAAAAACGTCTCAAAGCTAATGAGCAGGAGAAACATACGTAACAGAGAGGAGAATGTTTAAGGAAAAGAAGGAAGCAAGAATTTCCACCCTGATGTGGGTGGTGAAGTGGGGAGGGCAACATTTTCTCCTCACCCTTTCCTCCTCCCCTCTTTTTTCCCCTACCTTCCCTCCCAACTTTCTCTTTTTTGCCTGGGACAATAGGGTCAGATGGGAAACAATACAAAAACAGAAAGAGAGGGGAGTTGTGTGGAGGCCACAGGGGTGGTCTGAGGTTCAGAGAAGGGAAAATAGAGGAGTGGGTCTACCAGCTTCACTGGAGGCTGTGGGGGAGGTGGGGAGGGGAGTGATGAGGGGAGGCAGAGGTTTGATGAAGGAATGTATAGAAGATCAGCAGGGATAAGGGGCGATGTCAAGGAGGATGACATAAGATTGCCAATAAGGGGGCGTAAACGGTGGGAGGGGGAGGAGTCAGTAACACAGGGCTTATGGCACACAGGGTGGGTTGATGTTCTGGTAGGGCTAAAAACATTTTTCGGCCTGACTGAGTCTAAAAGTGAACACGCTGGGCCAGTGGACGAGTGGCTGAGACTTTCCTCTGTCGATCGCAGGGTGTTAGCATGTAGAGACCAGCAGGTTTAAGCTGCTCTCATATTTGTTCTGTTAACACTGCAGTGTTGGATGAAAGAAAAATAAACAAAGGAAATTACACAGGTCACTCAGTGTGAAAAATTTGTGATTATGTCAATGTTTGGCTATTAGCTGTTAGCTACATTTTGGCTAGCTTGAAATGTTATCAATTTCCAGCTGACCTTTCATTTAGTTTCAAACCTAGATATGTTACGCTAAAAACTAAACAGCTTAACATTAAATGTTATAATAATTTAGTTATGATTATACATTTCATGTCTTTTGTTTATGTCATTTTGTGACATTTGTCTGTTTTGATGATCTTTGCTAGCTATATTTCTGGATAAAACATTTGTTATATTTTAGTTCAAGAATATTTGAGCTATCTTGAAGCCATTGTATAAGTTTAGCAATCATGTCAGCTAATGCTTTGCCACCCCCGCTCGCCTCCGCTAACTTTAGCTTTTTTTATAGTGTAACTTTTTGCTGTTTACATTCTGAATAGGCATAAAGACACCAGACAAATATATGTAGACACATTCAAAGAGCGTGAGCAACCGGTTATACTGTACCTACAGTGATGTAATAGTACACTAGCTGCATTCTGCACTTTAAAGGTCAAGAATTAAACAGCAGAGTTGGAAAGTGTGTGTGTGTGTGTGTGTAAAAGGTGCATATGTCTGCAGAAAATAGACCCAGAGACAGTGTGCTGTGTGGGTGTGCCTCTGCTGCCTGTACAGTATGTGAGAGAGTGGAAAGATGTGATCACTACGGTTACAGTCCTCTACTCCCAACACACCTCACAACTGTTCATCTTTATTTTTTCCCCCCACAAATCCACTGTGTATCAGTCAGACAGTAGAACATGTTCTCTGTTTTAGCTACCTACTGTGACCTTGGAGGTCTCTACAAAACTCGTAAACTACTAAACTACAACCTAAAACTACTACAACAACTGATTTTAGATTGGTAGGAGTCGGTATTTAATTTAATAGTATCAATTTCCTGACAACCCTGTAATAAACAGACGTAATACAATACAAGCGTGAACCCTCTTCCTGCTACCGATTAATCAGCTGTTAATATATGGCTCCATCTTGTGGCGCTTTTATGCATTACAACAACAGGCCGCTTATACATCCTACGACAGCACACTGTAGTTAAACATCGATATAAAAGGAACGTGTGTAAGCCTTTCGCACAGTCATTGTGACGTCATGAAACTCATGCGCGAATAGATGGAGCGGAGGGGGTCTGGGTCACTGGAATTTGGGTCGTAAAGAACAAGCGGATTTGCCTTGGACGCGCATCGCGACGAGGCGCGTTCACAGAGTGAGTGCAGGTGGTGCGCAGTGGTGAGCCGGCCGGCAGGGCGGAACTAAAGGAGGCGATAACGCTGACATCTCTCAGTTCCCTTTTATTATTTATTGTCACATCCATCCATGGCTGAGGAGGTGACACGGTGGCAGACCTGAAGTCAGTACTGCAGGAGGAGGAGCAGCAGGAGGAGCAGGATGGGGAATCTTTTTTTCACCCGGTAAATAGCTCAAGGACAAACACACTTTCTCTCCTATGACATTCTTGTGTTCGGTTGTGACGTAGACAGTACTCGACACGGAACTTAACGTGGACATGAAGAGATGTAGATTGATGCCGGCTATCGTAAAGATATGTCCGACAGATAATGGGGGACGGGAGGAGGGGGGAATCCCATTTCAATTCATAAATGAATAAATGTGCAGAAAAAAATGTCGTTCAAAAATGTTTGAAGTGCGGCCCACAAAAGGCATGTAACGGTAGCAAGTGCTTTCTATTTCTATTTTCCCACGTAACACTTTTTTGATGGTTGTATTTCAAACCCCGAAAAAATATATATTTTGTAATAAATGTAGACGTTGAATCAATACATTAAATTTCTATATTAAAGATATAGTTAGTATATTATTAGCATTTTCTGTGCGATTTTAAAGCCACTTTCTCACTTCTCTAAACGGAAGTTAAACGGAAGTTACACATTGGAACACAAATACACACAACATCAGGCCCCACGTCATCGTGTCCGCCATGTTGCATTAGGCATTGTATGTGTGTCTCTGTGTGTGTATATACAATATATATATATATATATATATATATATATATATATATACACACACACATATGGACAATGTGTAGCTTTTTATTTGTTTAAACTGTCTAGTTAGCTGTTTTACAATTTTTAAAATATTCTAAATCTTAGCAGTCTTTTTCCACATTCAAATATTACATATACATACAAATATTATTATATAGACATTTCTGGCTAGTTTGTAATCTGTATCTGTTCACTTGTAGCCATTGGTCCATGTGTATAATTAACAATTAACAATTATGTGTTTTGAATCTGTTCTATGCATTTTGTTATATTTAAAATTCAAGAGTTAAAGTTCAACACATTTTCCCCCAAATTTTCAGGACCAAAGCTGCACTGTCTGAGTCGCAGGACGAAGGGAGGTTCATGGTTAAGATGATAAAGAAGAGCATCACTTATTATTCCACTCCACTTTCAGAGCAGCAAATCCTGTGTCCGACCAAAGACTCTAAAACCTCCTCCTCTCTACGCCCCACCTCGTCCTTGTCCCCCTCTGGTCTACCCTTGAACAACTCCCCCTCTGCAGATATTTCCACTTCTCCATTGCTCTCATCCACACCATCGACTTCCCGTCCACTTCTTGTCTTCTTTGCATGGCTCGGGGCCAAGCCAAAAGATGTGGCCAAGTACCGGAACATTTACCTGGACCGTGGCTTTGATGTCCTGGTGGTCTATAGCAGCGTGAAGCACTTTCTGTGGCCTCAGTGTGGCCTCAGCTATGGGTTAGAGGTTATGAAAGTATTAGAAGAGCCTCAGTTGACCGGGAGGCAGCTGGTGGTCCACGCCACCTCTATTGGCGGCTACACTTTCACCCAGATTCTAACCCACATCGTTGCGGGAGTGGAAAAACACTCAGCGCTAGCTCAGAGAGTGAGAGGTCACATCTACGACAGCCTAGTGGCTGGCACTCTGGAGCACATGGCGACAGGTGAGAGAGAGTGATCTGGCGCTGAGACTCAGGTTACTACTGTTTGAAAATGTGAGTCATAGCTTTAAATAATTCATCAGGCGGTTGAGCTACTGCTCTTGTTTTGTAGGGCTCAAATACTTTATAATGATAGTATCAACATTCATTAATATTAATGGAAAACGGTCTGCAAATATGTCTTTTTTTGAGCTCTAGCACCAGTCACCAGGCTTTTTTTGCCTTTCAAGCCAGGGAGCCTAAGCGTCTGTCTAAATGGTGATTCACCAGTTAGCAAACACTGAAGACAGAAAAAAATAAACAGTAATTTTCTGAAAATGTTTATATTAGTAACAGGAGTTAATTTATTTTATATACTGGTTCCTCTGTGTGAAAGTCGCTACATATTTAGTGTAATAACAATAAATCAATAAATTAAAAAAAATTAAATGAGTAATGGCTAATGTTGAAAAGTTTGATTCTAACCTTCATATAACATTCACTGTTCTCCATAGGATATTATATATACTGTGGCAGGGGTGAGTTGGAGTCCCCTCGTGGAGACCAAGGGAAGGGACAATAGCTACCATTTAATAAAAGTATTGTCTCCTGTCTCTATGAGAGAGCATTTTACGATATGTAAAACAGCGCCCCCTAAATGTGACGTGGTGACTGGTACTGCACTCTGTTCTCTGTGAGGAGGTCAAGATGAATTGACTTGGCTTCCCCACGCCACCAACTGGTCAAATGAGACGGTGGTGGGGCCAAAAGTGATTAATGGGAAAGAATCGCTGTTATCAAGTTTTTAGTTGTAGCCTCCTTGAGTGTAATTCCTTCTTGTGTTTTGTCCTTAACCAGGCCTTGGTAAAACACTGCTGCCACGATTCGAGGGCTTGGTCAAAAACCTAGCTATGTTCTACTTCTGGCTCTTCAAAACAAAAACAGCGGACATCTACGAAAGCAGCGTCCAGGTTTTCCGCAACAATCCCATCACCACACCGGCCCTCTTCTTCTTCAGTGAAAACGACGCCCTATGTGACCCAGATGTGATAGATGATATGATCGACCTCTGGAGGAAGCGGAATGTGACTGTGGAGAGCAGGAGGTGGAAGGAGTCCAAACATGCGGCACACATGCGATGCCACCCGCAGGAATATCGTTCTCTGCTGGAAAGGTTCTTGAATTCCCTCGATCTCCGGCCTTAATTACACAGCATGACTTGGAGCATGTGAGATGTTTTTATTTTGTTTAAATCAATGAACATCATCTTTTAGCTGTTACTGTTAGGAATTGAGTTACAGCCACAATTAATACTGAATATTTTTGTTGTTTGTATATGTATGTATAGTAAAATTACGAGGTCAAATAATACAATATTTCTAGGCCTGTAGCAAGACTTCTGGAAATAAAAAACGTCTGAATTCCGGAAGTAAATTTGAGAATTTTGAGAAGAAGCACCGTGACAAAATGTCTACTTTCTAATACTTCCACAGCCTATGGGTAAAAACTGTAGGATTTTAACATTCCTATTTTAACGCACAAGGTACTGTGTTGCACAAAATACTAAAATCTAAATATTTTTGACAAAGGTCAGTGTTTGTGATTGCTTTATTTATTCATTTATTTATTGATCTGATCTGTATGGTTATATTAGTGCCTCAGTCCATGATAGCGCCTGCTACAAAAAGTATATGCTGCTACATGAATGCAATGGTTATGGCTGCAAACCATGTTTAAAGTTTTTGAAATTAAGGATACATTTGATGTGATGCCATTTTAATATATATATATGTGTTATTAATGAAAGTTTTGCCTACTTTATAACATTGCAAAAGCAAGTATGATGTTAACATGTTGTATGCATTGTGTGCCCTATTTGTGTAATAAAAGATGGCAAGGCTAAATGAAAAAGTGTCTTTTTATTAAACAGTATGTGAGTTAGTGAAAAAAATCCCTTTTGTCTTTATTCTTAATTTTTCTTAAACCTTTTTTGTTTCCATTTGGCTATTGTGTCTATTTCTGGCTAGAAATAGCTGTGTTTATTGTTGTGTAACTTTCTGGCTGACCATTTTGGCTAACATACAGTTATACTCGATTTACTTATATATAGTTTTATTATGGTTTATCTTAAAAGATGAAAGGCTTAAAAACATTATATAACATTATATATATATACATATATATTCTATATTATATATAGATATTTTTAAACATATACAGCTCGTTAGCCACGTAACGCTCTGTGACGCTACTCGTTTCCGCTTTACCGCTAACTTCCTGTTTTATTTTGAAGTTCTTGATTTATTTTACGGCGGTGCTCGTCATACTTTACTTCCTGTTGACATGGTTGCGTTTCCGCAGCGTCTAATAAGTTTCACGTGTGTCATTTCATGCTTCCTTCACAACACTAAAGTAAAACGACACATTTGTATGTACTTTTTTCAAAGTGACATTAAACGGCGGAGTCATAATAAAATGAAAAACCACTATGCTGTTGAGATAAACCTTTGTAAACAAGTTGAGTCAGTACGTAGAAGAAAAGCACACAGCCAAGCAAACGGTGAGTCATACGTCATGTTTAAACTATCACGATTATAAAATGAATGATTAATAATGTGCATCCACACCGCTGCAAAGTCAGTTATTTTCTGTTATATATTCACGTATAAGTATATACTGTATATGTATATATAGTATATTTATACATGTCAATATTTAAAATGTTAAAACGTGTTTCTATTTTTTAATTAATTAATTAATAATAAAACAGACCAAAAGTCAATTTAAAAGATTCCACCGTGTCATTAGCTCATAATATATATATTTTTTTCTTTAAAAGAGGAATGTCATTTGAATGATTTTGCAAAATCATTGGTTTGCTAGTTCAATTCCTAGTCATTCTGTGTGACATTTACCTGTTCTCCCTGTGTGTGATGTTCACAGTCCAAAAACATGTTGGAATCTAAACCGACCACCGGTGTGAATAGTTGTTGTTTCTCAATACATGGCTCTCTGAGCTGTGTGTGTGACTGCTTGGATGGTCAGACTCTAACGCCATAGAAGATGAAAGAGTAACGCTGTTAGAGTCTGGTTCATGCATCAGCGTAGTTCTTATTAGCAGCATATGGTGGCAGTGTTTAGTTGTGGATGTGTAGACAGTGGGAGGTGCTGTGACCTGTGTGTCTGTGATTAACCGCTGCCTCAGACACATTCGTCATCAGACGTCTCACTCAATCCAGTTGACAAATTGCTAAGTTCCAACGCTAGAAGTAACGCTGGGTCTCGAGGGAGAACGTGGGATTGGGTCTACGTACATCTACAGTATATCATCCAATAGTGTTGTACCAAACGTGTTATGGATGGGGCGTTAAAAAGCATTTATAGCGCCCCCTACAGGACACACATGTTTGCAGATAAACACAAAGTGGTGATTAATTTTTCAAGTCTGTGTTCTTCAGCTCTGTGAACAGGGAACTGTTTTATTTATAGTTGTGGCATTTCCCGGCATTCCCAGCCTGATGATGATGTTAACATTACAGTTGTTGTATGTGGGTCAGAGGTTAAACTGATTGTCATTGTCTAATGATTTGGACAAATGGCACTGGCAACAAAACAACTTTTCCTCTGACGTCAGCATTTAGTACAAAGAAAGTATTTCTAATTTATTTTTCTATTAATTATTTTGAGCCAGTGACGGCACAACATGACAATATTTTAAGTTTAATTTGAGAAAATGTTTTATTTATTCAAATTTAAATGTCACTTGAGCATTTAATGGCAAATAGAAAAAATACGCATTTGAATGGACTTGAATGAATTGAAAATGACAAATTTGTTTTTAAGTATTTTTTTATTTTTATTTATTAAAATTTCATTTATTTTGTTTTTTAAAATGTTTTATTTGAGTCTCTGTCTGCCAAAGAGTAGGTCTAGAAAAAAATGTGTGCCTTCCCTCTGTCTTTGTGGTGAATTAAACTCTTTCACATAAATTCAATTTTATAAAAAGTTTTCATAATGTTTACTGAACCTTTCTTTTGCAGTATTCTGAGGAATAGTTTGAATTCTCACTTAGGGATCAACTACGGGGCACATACCACATTTGAGAAACACAGACGTGTCGTACGAGTTACTGTTAAACAGATCTGGTGAAACTGAAGATAAATTCCTCTCCATTTTACTCCATTTAATGGTGTTGATTTCAGAACGTAAGCGGCTTATTTTTCTCAGCACACGCTGAGTTTGTCCTTGTGGAGGAGCAGCTCCTCCAGGTAGTGCTGCACCTTAGCCAATATCAGGAGGAAGACAGTGTCTGGAAACAGGTCGTTGCAGGTGTTTCCTGTGGGTCTGGCGTCGACCAGGCAGCCCGTCCTCAAGGCCCTGGAGCGAACCTTGGCCTCAAGGCCGGAGACGTCGACTGTGATCTGACTGAGCAGCTCGGTGACCGGGCTCTGCAGCTCCACGGCCAAGAGTCCAAGGTCAATGAGTGATTTGAGTGAGTCCCATGATGGGAGGAGGGCTGAGCCTTATGTTTAGACTCATGGTTAGCTTCAGAAAAAAGAGTGAAACAAATTTAAAACCCTGCGTTTATGGAGAGTTTTTTTCTTCTTCTGAAAAGCAGGTGATTTTTTTTTACTTTACCACTTTCCATATGTTCTTGACGTGGACCAGGGTTGTATTAACTGCGTCTATGATGTGTTGGCTGTTTCTGTTGGAGTCGTACTGTTTGTCAGGAGAACCTGACAAACCAACAGCAGCGACCAGACAGACGTAGACAACAGACAGAGCTGTTTGCATCCTATTCAAAGAGAGACAAAGTTTTATGAGTAGGTTTTTCAAATAAAAGTTGTTTTTTTGAAAGTCCCTACTTTAATTGACCTTAAAAGAACTTTCTTTTCTACAAACACACTGTAGGCACAAACTCATTAACGTAGTATTTTCTTACCTGTACTTCACTCCTGCTCCCGTATCACTGAACACACGTTCACACGTCTGTTTTTTGCAGTTTCGTCTCTTAAATAGTCTGATCTGAACCTGAGTCACCCCCTTCCAGTTACCTTCATAATCCTAATCCTAATCCACACACTTCAAGCCTCAGGATCTCATGGTGACTCACTGTGTGTTTGTTTGAACATGTGATGTTCATAGTACCTGGAGCCCACAGCGTTCTCTGACAGTTGGTCATTGGCGCCACTGTGGCCGTTTCTCTGTGTAAACCTAGAGCTCAGTATGGAAGGTGGATTTCAGAATGTGTTCTCGGGAGATGTTCTCAGGCGTCCTGCTGCAGTAACCAGACGATCAGGGAGTTTTTCCCAAATCACGAGACTGTTGGCATAACTTTGAGTGAGTTATCTGAGCCAGTGGACTGTTATTATCTGTGCAATAGGGAAACTGACCCATGTTGAAAGAATATGAACAGCTCCACTGTCTGCAGCCTCTGCCCTGCTGAGTCTTGGAATTCAACATGCTGCTTGTTCTCGGCTGAAGTTCTCACAATGTCCTCTAGAGGGCTACCACCGCCCAGAGATGTATCAGAAAATCTTCTTCTTCTTCTTCTTCTTCTTATTAGTAGTAGTAATAGTAGTATTAGTATTAGTAATATTAGTATAAACTAGATACCATATATTTCAATACTTAATATTTAATATTTTAATTGAATAATTAAGTAATTTTTCTGATACATCCATAATTCTGTGAACATATTTCAACCCAGTGGTATTCAAACTATGGAGCGTGTTTCACCAGTGGTACTTTCTTTTTTCATGAATCAGCTCTCTGTCTATGTCAGCTGTTGGTAGACTGATTTAAACTCATAATATTGACTTCCCTAGTGTATATGAACAGTAACTTACTTACTTACTTAGTTTGTAATCTTCTTTGTCACTGATATAAACAACTGCGTCATCTGCAATAAAATCTCAAAGGAATTATATAATTTATTTTTGCAGAATCACTTAAATCAGAAACAAGCGATGTAAAAATCCAGTGAACAGATGTTTGTCCCCTTCAATCTTCTTGATCATTTCATTCTGAAAACCTTGTCGAACGATTTCTTCCCAGTGTATGATCTGAAACAGGACTGCGTCTGCAGCAGGATGGAGTTGGAGAAGAAAATTAGAATTGATCCATGCTCTATTTTTAGCCGGGCGTCTAAAAGCACCTGCAGTTATTTTTGGCTCCTTTATGACTACATTAAATTCACTGGCCATAAAACCTGTTCAGGCCGCACAATGAAAACACGGCACATAAAATGGAGACGCGTGCGTCGAACAGAGATGGTGGAAAAGTGGGTGAAGTTCAAATAAACGGAACTAAATTAATGGAGCATGGTGTGGAAATACCAAGTAGCCGCACAGTTCACCTACAGACCACCGTTTAGGAATCACTGACGTAGAACGTTTCATTTCAACCGCGTTTTTTTTTTCTTTGAAAACTGTAGCATTGTTAGTTTTAGTGATTTAGTGTCAATTTTTAAGAAGAATGGGAAGAAAATAAAACCAGTGAAAAATGGAGAAACTTCAGTCTTTATTTTTTTATTATACAGATATCGCATGTTCTTTTCTTTTTTATAATATTGTTTATAAGTTTAGCTAAAGGCATCAAGATGACTTAAACACAGCAGCAGAGGAATTAGTAGATCGATATAACTTTTGATAACTGATGTTTTGATAATTTTGATAATTGATGTTTTTCCAGTTAGTAACTGAACATTTTAAAAAAAATTATTTACTTCAATTAATTTTTAATTAAGTTTTCAATATAATTTCTGTAAATTCAATTATCTAAATAAACTGTGGGACTTTGATTTTAAAATATTTTTTTATAATGTAAATATTAGGTCATATTGTTGGTTATGTATATCTAATTAAAGACACTTTTTTTATTTTTCTGTAAATAATCAAGGTTTAACAACAATTTGAAACAACCTAATACTTATTCTTATCTGGAGATTATACAATGTTGGTAAATAAGGTTAAATATCAACATCATAACTGACAGAATTCTTTTATTTTAAACTAAAGTAACAAAATTAACAGAACACAAAGGGCTAACATTTCCAGAATTGAATCGTGTTATTATTCTAGAACAGACGTTTTCTGCCTTTTTCCACATTCAGGGAGTCTAACATTTCTACTCTCTTCAAAACTTAATTTCATTGTTGTTACATTTTCCAAATTTTACATCATGACCTCACTCTTAAACAATCAAGCCTTATTTTATACATGTTTGCAAAATATTTTGCAGACCCCTGGATTATGGCCGGTGGACCTGTTGGGATCCAGGAACCTCTGTTTGAGAACTACTTCCCAGGAGTTCACTGAAGTCTCAATTAGGTTTGTTCTCCTTTTTATGGCTCATTTATTCCCTCCTGAAGTACAATGTATACTTCAGTACTTCTATATCTGCAGTGTGTACAGAAGTATAAATAGAATTTAGGACAAACACAGGAAGCACAGGGGAAGAGGGGGAGCTGCAGTTTGAGGGGGGTCCAGTCGCTGATAAATTACAGCTTTACTTCTTTGTTTTTCTGCAGCACAACCACTAGGGGCACTTTGGTGAAATATTTGATTATTTTGCAGTTTAAAGTGAAGCTAATGAATTCAATTTCATTGTAATTTTCTTGGCTTAGAATTTGCATTTTTGTGTGCCACCATACACTTGTAGTGGCCAATCAATAATCAATGAAAATCAATATAATTTTCGGTCATATAACTGAGGTCTTGGTAATGTTAGCTACAAGGATGGGCAAATGTTTTGGGTCATAAATACTGTACAACGTCTACAGGCAACAGTTGTTATTTGACCCACACAGCTGTTGACTTTCTTTAGAATCTTAAAAATATTTTTTTTTTTCCGCTGATGGTTTTGTCCTGTAGTTACTTTTAAAATACCTGGACTTTATAATTAAAATGTCCACCGTGACGATGTGACACCAGACTCTGACCGGACGAGAGTTTTCTTCGACGCCTGAATCCAGTGCAGATACTTTTTGGGGTAAGGGCTTCCTGGCTACTTCCTGAGGAACAGCAAGCCCAGACCGCAAAAAGACCCACAAAGGACAAAAGAAATCCAAATGACTTCACCACGTCCTTGAGTCCAACCACTCTGCAGCCTACAGGGGGAGACAAGGGGACAGGAGGGGGACAGAGAGATTGTAAATCATATCAAACAAGTGAATGGACTATTGAGAAAATGATCAAGCAAGTGAATGGACTATTGAGAAAATGATAAGGTTAAAAGTTTGAATTTTAGGTACTACAACATCTCACTTTTGTACTATGAGTGTACTTCCTAGTTCAGCAGAGACAAAGGAAGAAACGGCTAAAAAAAGTGGACAAGGAAGGACAGAGACACAGATATGGACTGAGACACAGTGTCATTGAAGTCAGTTGAACTGGGAGACAATGTAGAGACCAGGTGTGTAATATTGACAAGTAGTCCTCTACGTGTCATAAAAAATATTTAGTTAAACTATTTTTCCAATGGGAGAGCAACTTCAGCCACGTTTAATGAAGTTGGCTTGTCATTGGTTAGGCAGATGATAATCTGACTTTGTTTTTTTTAAAGCTCAACGGCAAACAACAAGGCTTTGCTCTCAGCTCGTTTGAGTTTTACTGACTTGTTGTTAGTGCAGAGATGGAACATGAGACACGGTGATACACTGTTAACAGGTGAAACACTCCTAGAGGACTAAAATAAAATAAATAAATAAATATATATATATATATAAATCAAATGTCATTTGTCATGTTGCCACAGTCAGAAAGCTTTATGTCTGAAATACTATTTCATTTCGTGGGTGGGTCGGAGTGGGCAATGGGGGGCGTGAAAACAAATCTGTCCCCAAGAGACATGACAGAAAATAATGGAGAATTACTGCTTTAGTTGAACATGACGCTGAAACCCCTGCAGGAATTGAAGAAAGACACACAGCTCTGAGTCTCTTTCCCACTTTTTAAAATAGTTTTTATGCCAAATATTCAGGTGAATGGGTTTTTATAGGTTTTTGTACCAATTAAGAAAAACTGTCTGATTTGGACTTCATAGTTTTCAAACGTTTGTGCTGTTGCTTCACTATTAGAACATACAACACTTCTGTTTTTACCTTCAGCACGTTTCAATACTTAAGTACAGTACAATATGAAATACTTCAGGACTTTAACTTGAGCAGTGCATTCAAAGAACACTTTAACTTCTTATTGAGACATTTTCTAGTAGAGAACCTGGTTCTCAAGTTTTCTCAAGAGCCCTGGTACTTTATACAGCTCTAATACAGAGGGATGGAGAGGGACAACATGACCTGAAGACAGATGGACACGGACACCAAGAGTGAACACACCGACATTGACGCACAGACCCCAGAAGACAGATAAAAAAAGACAGGGAACAGAGAGACAGACACAGACAAGATGGCAACATGTAGTGAGAGACAAACTCAAACAACGGGGACATGAAAAAGAAGACCAGCAGGACGAAGGTGAAGAGAGACTGTAAACTGTCAATTACAGACGTTAATGACGTCGCTTCAAAGCAGTGTCCCTAAAATAACAGCAGGGTAAATCAACAAAATGACTCCTTCATCAGTGGGATTAACAGCTAGGTGTTGACGAGACGACGGCAGACGTAGTTAAATTTGCTGAGTTAATTGATTAAAAACAGAATGGGTTCCGATATAAAACATGACGTGAGACTCCAACAGTGTCTTTCTGTCCGAGGTTTTCAGCAGGCGCACAGAGGTGTTCAAGAAAGTTAAAATTTACTGTGACCTGTTACAGCCTGACGTACCAACGTGGACCTTTCACCCTGGACATAAGTTTACCCACAACACTACAACTGCATGTTTTATTATCTGAGTTTTCAGTTCCAAAACTTAACCAAAAATTAATCTTCATTCTTTTATAAAAACAATAAAAAACAGTAGTATGACACAGTATTAATATGTAACAAAAACGACCTTTTCTAGAATATCTGGAGGTCTTTGTCCTTCAAAAAACGTGGTTATCCCTCTCATATAGCATTAGCATCAGTAGCAGAAGTTCATATTTTTAAAATGTAGGAAATTGACAAAGAAAAATATAATCCGTGGTTTACGCCTGTCTGATCCGGTACGTATGACTTTTGGAGAATTTATTGGATTGGTACTGTTTTTATTCTGTAACGGAATCAACGTTGTCTAGGCTAGGGACCAGCTCTAGTGGTCAACACGAGTGGTCAAACGCCCAGGAGTGTCTGGAACCACACACCATCCAATCAGCAGCGCCGCCAGTTACACCACAGGCAGAGTGTGATGAGATTTTAGGGAAGAGAAGTTGTTTAGAGCTAACCTTGATCATATTACATGTTAAATTAGAAGATTAAAAAAAAGATGTATTTTCAATGCTAAAAACAAAACACGTTATCATCATGGAAAGATCTGAGCGTTATCTCTGCTCCAAGACTGACAAAAGAGATTTGACAAAAAGTTGTTTTCAAAATGTTGGGAAACAATTGTGTTTAACCTTAATCATTTAAATTACAAGAACTTTACTGAAACAATTACAATTTAATGGGATCAAATCTAATGATGATGGAAGAATTTTCCAATAAAATAGCATTTAAAATGCAACATGAAAATGTTTGCATTGATTTGACATCATGTGTAAAGACGCTGGTCTCTTTGTATAACGTGGACCTGTGGGGGGCAGATTTGTCAGGGTAAA